TGAAGACCCACTCCGGCTTCGCACCGCTGCAATCATAGAGGCGTGATTTTCATTCATCATGAAAATCTTTTCGAGTACTGAAACCGGCACGTAAAAAACCTGTTTAAATTTTCAATGAAAATACCTTCATATACGAAGGAATTAACTTATTAATAGAATTAGAAATAATATTATTTTCATTAATTGACCTGCAGTCACTAAACCCACCAATCCACACTAAGCCGAGCGTGGTGGGTCGTGCCTACTCCACGTCGGGCCCATTCCTCCGATTCGATTAGATTTCATCCATAGAGAAGACCTTTGTACCAATGGAGATATTAATAGTCTTGTGATAAAAAATCTTTATTCAGATAAACTTATTTAAAATTACTAATGAACCATCAAACCTTTATCCCCACCACACGTTCAGACCATCTTTTGGCTAACAAGAACAATCGAAACGAAAAAACACAAAGAAAACGAGGACTCGACCTTGAAATTGAGACCAGAACCATTCAAAACTATTTAAAAAACTAGATGGGAAAAAAAATGTTTGCCAAAAATTGAACGCAAAGGAAATATCAGTCCATAAAATTCTTAATATATCTACTCCGAACCAAAATAAAAGTGTTTAAAAGCCCACGCGTACAGTATGTAACGAACCAGCTGTCCACGTAACAGTGACGTGCGAATTTATTCGTGAAAGCTATTAAATGTTACAACTACGATGGGGACCGCTAATATATTTGGCGAAGGCCGCACAATGTCATCAGATTTACAACGTGTTGTAGCTTCACTGCCCACCGAATGTACGATGAATTCACTATCCACCACCTGCTGGACGTACTTTACAGTCATAATGACATACAAGTTTGCGTAATCCATAAACATAAAAAATGTTTTATAACCTCCACGCTGATCTTGGAAAAAATGTAAATTGAAAACATTACAAACCTACATCATCCGATTAAAGAATAAGTGTATTACTCCATCTAATATATTGCACACCTAGATCTAAACTGAGACAACTCAAAAATTTGATTGAGTTTGACTTAATACAATATTCAAATTCTCTGTGATCATACGCATCTATCCAAAGTAACAGATTCAATAAAGGTTCGGGAATGAGCCGCTAGATAACTTTAGCTTTCTTTTGTTGAATCAACAGTGGTCGTGCTCCTGCCACGTAAACAAATGTATTGTCAGACCTCCACATTAGTTTTTTGAGTTGTCTTAGTTTAGATCTAGGTATATAAAATTCTCGTGCCACAGTTTTAGTTACGATTCACCTCCAAAGCGCTTGATCAATTCTAATGAAATTTTTAATGTGTGTATCGAGTATGTCTTAGAATAAATTATCTATTTCTTATACCCATAAATGATTAGAGTAGCACACCCCAAATTTACATAGCAAAACAACGTTTGACGGGTCAGCTAGTGTTATTACCTATATTGAGGTTCCGTACATATATCAAAAGAAACTCAAGATGTTCGTATATCTATAGGATCACTGATCTGTCTCTGTATCTATCTTTTGCCATAAAATGGTATTTGTATGAATCTCAAACATATTTTTCACAGATAACAGTTATTTTAGCACCTCCAGTAATATTACAATGTGCGGTGAATAACGGCGTGTGACCTAGTCCGTAATATCATTTCTCATTTACTGTAAGCAGCTCTACAAGTGTAACGTCTGAATTGACCACTATAACTTAATATCTAACGATATTCTATGACAATACACCACAGTGCAATCACTGACTTTTACTCACTAGAATCTTCTTGAATTGATCCATATAAGATTACTACCATATATACTTACTTGTTTATTCTGTGACCTACTACTATTATTCTAGTCGAAATGGTTTCTCAAACACATTAATATTGATTAATATAATTGCAAATTTGGGATGATTCGGAATAACATTATTTAAACAAATATAAAATAAAATCTATTGGAATGTTCTTGAAAATGTAGAGATCCTTTTTGATATTGGCACACGAATGTTAGTTAATTTTTAAAGTGGAGCATAGTCACAACCCATCGTAACTCACAAACATCACTTCTGTAAAAAAAATTAAGAAAGCTCTTTAGTAAAAATAGCGTCGTCAGTGGAAGGGCGGCCATCTGTAACGTCCAAGGTCTATTCCACTACACTACAGTTTAAACAACTAATAATAGACAGGCGTATTGGGCCACTCGGAGATTTAGTAACCAAATGACGTCATCCGACTCTGACATTCAAATAGGTATATATAAACATAGATTTACTATATATTCCAGTATTAGGAAATAGTAACATATTATAAAGGAGTACTTAGGGGTGGGGTACTGTTTACAAAACGCATGCGTTACTCACATGACTCCACCTTTAATCTAAAGCTGATAAAGACTGAAACAAACGACTGAACTCGATAAAATAAATTTATCGGTCACCCATTGCGGCATAGAGCCCCATACTCATCTGATTGTTCTGTCTAAATTGTCAGCAGGAGTCAGTCCACAGCAGCAGCGGTAAGGTGACCAGCAGCGTCGAGGAGCTCGACCTCGATCAGTGCTGGGACGAGAGGACCCTCAGGAAACTTGTGAGTAACACCATCACCACAACAACCAACCGTTAGGTACTTTAATCAAACAATACATAGCGTTTTATACATCAGAGGCGACAACGGCTTTTCCAAGGTTAAAAAATAATAATATATTTAGCCTTTTGCCTAGGGTCGCCAGGTAGATATTGCTACCTTAGCAATAAGGCTGCCTTTTGTGTTACTGTGTCTAGTTTAATGTACCTTTCCACTGTATTTCATAGTGCAATAAAGAATATTCAATAAACCAATTAATATTGCAAAACCGACAAAATTATCGAATACATCAAGTGTTTCCATAGATTTCTCTTCCACATAAACAATATTTACCCGGTTTATCAGCTAAGTGGCGACTTCACATAAAAAAAAACATCACTTAATTATGTGCATATTGTTTTTAATTGAAAATTAGTTGCTTTCCGAAACATAATCTTGATTAAAATAACAATAATTTTGTTAGATAATGTTCATATTCAGTCTTTGAGTATTAACTACCTATAGTAGAAAACTTTCGGTTGACAAAATTCTGAAGTGCTTAGTCCCTGTGATTATACATTGAACGTGATAACAATAACCTTAGCTTCGTGTCCACCACATTGTCTTTTATTGCGTCCATCTAAAAGTGAAAGTAAGTCATTGCAGTTTTTGTGATGTTTTACGTAAACAAATCTTTTAGTCCAGTCGCCCTTAAAAAAATTGGGCACAGTTAAGATGGCCAAATAATATAAAGAAGGCAAATAATATATACAGTTGGCACAGTCAATAACAATCCGAATAGTGGATGGAATCTGTGAGGCCTATTTTTAATAGATTGTCGCCCAGTATTTAACGCTGACTGCATTAAGCTACAGTTTTGTTATACAATATTTTATAACATGTAAGACTGCGTAAGAGTCTAAAAGTGCAAATCACCCGTGTGTTATGTGTGGTTATGTTCCTTTCTCGTGGTCATAATAAAATCAATTATTGAACAGTCATCGGAGAAACTCTAGATGTAGGTGCTTGAGAGTTTGAGTATTATATTAATAATAGTAAAAAAACTAAAACTAATAATTAAATTTTAAAGCGCTCTAAAGTACTATTTTTAGTACCTAATATTTCCAGCAAATGTATCTCCAACGCTCGATCCAAATACGATCTGAAAATAAATATTTATGAGCGTTGGTTCGGTCAGTCGCTGGCAACAAAATGAATTAAAACCGGGACTTGATGCTGGTAGTGAACGGAGCATAAGCAAGTGTCCAGCCTGCCTCACCGCCTCCAAGCTATACACGACAAATTGTTATATCTTAGTTATGTACTTGCTGGGAGGTGGGGCCAACCATGAGATATGATTAAGCTTAAGCTTTTCATATTATAAAATTTCAGTAACCATTTAAAACTTTCTAAAGTTTTAAAATAATAAATTTTATTTGTCATGGGTATTTCTTCTTGGTGTTTTTAGTACTGTGTACGTAACGTATGCTCCCTATATCTATATGTAATATAGTCGTTTTTACATGCATTGTATAATATAGGTAAATTAATTTCCTGTCATGCCCTCAAGTTTTTAATCTCCAAAATTACGCAACGGCTTTCAACGTGGGTCTCACTATTGAATAGGCAAATTCTGGAATACCTAAGGTTTGTTAAAGTGCTGGGCCGGGTCGTTAGAATAAAACGATTGACAGTCGGTACTCGATTATGCTTATACGGCAAACGTATCGTCACCGAGTCGTAGTTATTATTATAAATCGATTAGAACGGTACCAAAGCGATTACAACATTCTATGGTAATGTAAAACCACGACAAATTTTATGAACCGAGAAATAATTCGCGGCTGTTGCAAAAAATAATTAAGCTGCGTTGCAAAGTGATTGCAAGTAACTAATTAAACCAATTTATTCAACCTGATTATGCTCTTGTCTGTTAAAACGGCGCGACAGATGAGAAATTATGGGACTGTTGCTGTCATTCAGTAAAATGTTTATGAATTCTCCACGGATGGTAAAAAACGAAGGTTTCTAAACAATTTCGCTCATGGTAATTTCGTTTTCATTTCATTGCGTGGGATATTGTGAAGCTATCCAAATCTGTCATCATTTAGGTAGGTGTGTAGGTACTATTATACAGCAGTTACTACAGTATTTAGGTCAATGTCGTATCCGCAGTTAGCTTCCGGAACACTGAACACAATACAATAGCGATACTTGAACACAAATTAAACACTTTACTGTGATTTCATCGAGCAGGTACATTAATTTTATAATATAACTTTATTTTATAAATTAATTGGTACCTATTTATCTTCATACAAAAAATTAAAAATAGATAAGTATGTGGAATTAGAACATAAAGCAGTCGTGTAACTCGGGGATTTTGTGTGCTGCAGTTGGACGAGTGTACCGACACCGAGCAGCGTCGACGCCTGCGCGCGCGTATACGCAGCCTCATGGCCGAACAGGAAGGTGAGCTCACGACACACTTTTATTTTTAAACAGTTCTCGAAGATCAGCCTTTTCCGTAAGGAACATGATAATAAATTCTTCTAAATAACTTAGATATTCAAACACTACATTAAATACTGAGTTTTGATTCTTCGATTGAAGTTTCCGTCGCCTTAAAAATATCACATATATTGCAGCGTGCGCGACCGCCGTGACGGAGGCGCTGGCGGCGGCCGGCGAGGTGACCGAGAGTGGCGACGGCGATACACGCGGTGAGTCCCTCCTCCTCCCGCTGCTGCAGGGATTACTCGGGGGCGGTGGTGAGCGGCTGCTGGCGGGACTCGGGGCCGCCGGGGCTGATGTGGTGGCCGACGTGCGCCGCTCCCTCGCCCGCCTGCGCGCCGCCCTCGCCCCGCCCACCGACCACCCGCAGGCACGCGCGCTCCTTACGCTCGCCGACCGCCTCGAAGACGCACTCGCCGCCGCCGACCGCCTCGATGGATGCCGCCGTCGCCCGCGGCGCCGCAGCCGCGCCGCGAGACATACGGTCGGCGTCACACATGAGGAGCTAGCGCAGGCGCGGCGCCTCGTGGATCGGGACCAACTCGCTCTCGACCCCGAACCCACTGCTACCCTCCCTGACACCGCCTCCGGAGCCTCGACTGCGAGCGTCGAAGAAACACCGACGCCCGAGCGCAAGCAGAGTATAGACGATGAAGTTAGCTACCACGATGCGGTCGCTTCCCGCCAAAAATCTGCCCCGATCGCACACTCTGCAAGTTTTGTCGACGCCAAGGTGAACAGGGACGCCCGCGTGGTAGGAAGGCGAGCGCCGGCCCCACGCAAACCTGATTTTTATAGACATTCGATAGCAGACGCGAGCCGGGCCGAACAGATCGACTCGCAACAGCAGTCTGACCCGCAGCCTCTTTACTCGCAATCTCCCCCTGAGCCCCCGAGTCCCCGGCTTGAGCACCCGTCACCCTCTCAGACGCAGCAGTTTCGACCATGCCGCGAGCCCGAACCGCCATACCGACCGCAACCTCAGCCGCAACCTCCGCCTGCGTACCGTCGGGTCTCAGACACCAAAAGCGGAATAGCGAAGATAGCTAATAAATTCGATAACCAGGCCAAGGAGATGGTACCTTCGTTCCCGAGACGAGCTCCCGTCGAGCGTCGCCGGTCACCTCCATCGGTGTCGGCTCCGACTATCTCGACGAAACTATCAAGTCGCGAAGAACCTAAACGTGCTCCCCTTTATAAACCTCTTCCACCGACGTATAATTTCGCAGCACCAGCGCCCGCGGAAGATTTTTCGAAACCGCTTAATCGATTCGGAAACAATAAGCGCGCTCGTATGAAGAGAGCGAACACTATAGATATAGGTAAACCCCTCGGCGGCTACAGAATGGACAGCGACACAGATGAAGAATCCCGCGGACCCGTCGTCCCGAAATTTCAACCGCAGACTGAAAACGATAGAAAGTTTGTTGCGTTCATGCGGAAGAATGAAGAGTGTCAAGTCGCCGTCAACGGTCAAACTAATTGGAGCAGTAGATTTGGTAACATCAAAAACACGTTTGAGAGTCGTGAGCGTGATGACAACAGCCGTCCTTCCAGTGGCTCGTCCGCGCGTCGCTTCTGGCGAACGACTGAAGAATCACCACCTCCGACTACGCACCGTCCTCAAAAATTCCCTAACGATGTCGGTAACTCTAACGTCAAGCCCCCGTGGCTCGCGGAACGTAGAGAATCGAGATCTCACGTCGCGCCGCAAGTTCAAATCCCTCCACCAGCACACATATTACCTCCGAGCCACCCTCCGCCGGTGCCGCAGTCGCCAACTAAACCGATCGTAGTAAAGCCATTTGTCGCAAAACCTATTCCAGTAAATCAGTTTTCTCACGCGCCGATGTCTGCGTTTAAACCGCCCACCAAAATAACTTCACCGACGAGTGCGCCAACGCATATTTGGAGTCCTCCATCTCTGAGTAACACCGTGTCCCCGACGACAGACCCGCCACAACCCATATACGGTGTGGTTTCGAAATCGATTCCTAGTCCACCAATCCAAAACACTCCATGGGCAGCGAGCGATCAACCCAAAAAAGTGATTTCTAAATTTGATGCCCCTCCACTGCCTGTTTATAAGGAGCGTCAACTACCCAACACACCCACGCAGCCGACTCACACGCCTCCGCATATTCATAACTATCCAGTGAAGGCTATACCCAGTCAGAATAATTTAACTGCCCCAAAACTAGTAAAGAAAGTTGATGACGCGAAACCATACGAAGCATCCGTGCCGTATATACCTAAAGTCGACGCCCAGCAGCTTCAAATTCAGTTTTATGAAAAACAAATCCGAGAGCGGGGACGCATCGAGCCTTTGATGAATGGACACCCAGTCCATATAGAAACATCACAACGGAAGGCACCTGCACCACCCGCTTACACCATTACCGATTATACTCCTAACAACGTAGTATCCACGTTTGTCCCACTGCAACAGACGCCTGATATCGAGAAAGCTAGAGCTCATAAGGTCGATTACCTCCCGGATGTCGTGCAAAATGAAGGAGAACGCAACGACTTCTTACGTTCTCCTATCTCCCAACAAAATCAGCACCCGGGACAACATCCACGGGGGAATCCTTATTCTTCAGATAGAACACCTCTCGCTCATCAAAATGGGGATACTAACCTCGTAGACGACGGCGGTCCGACCACAGAACATGGCAGCGTCGAGACCCGCGTGATGCGGGGTCCGGTTCGCGGAGCGGCAACTATCACCGCGGGAGTACGGACGCGCAACGACGAGTACCGCCGAGGCAGTGCCGCAGACAGTCTAAAGGGAGTGCTGAACAAAATGTCATCCCCGAAACAGGAGGTGATCAGCCAAATAGAAAGGAAAAAGCGGGAGAACGCGAGAAACCAGGTACGGGCCCCTGTACAGAACGGTGTCTCTCCCTTGCACGCGTCCCCGAAACCCCGCCCACACCCCGCCATCGAGTACGGCAGTGCCCCTCACTCCCCCGCAGGTCTACGATCGCCCGCGCTCGCCGCGTCCCGCGAGTCGGTGGTATCCAGCGAATCGGCGGCTAGCGCGGGCTCAAGCCCTCTCAGCAGGTCGGGCTCCTGGCACCAGCTAAACGTGGAACGTCCGCAGAAGTCTTCGTCGCCACGAAAAGTGGTCGCCCGCGCCAAATCTATGCACTTACTCGCCGTACCCAAACTTTTTGAAGGCGGTATCGCCCGAGATGAACTCACCGAGAAGAAAAAGACGGTTGAAGCTTACTTTTCTGGACGAGCGGGAACGACGCGATCACAGCAACAAACGAGCGGAGTGCGCGCGCGCGTCGCCCGCTCGCAGACGCAGTACTCGCTGGGACGCAGTCGCACGATGCCGACGGTCTCAGAGCTGCAGTTCCTGGACGAGAGCAACGCCGACGACGCATTTGAGGACCTGGTGTCGGCGCTCGCGTAGCGCAGCGCGCACATTCCACTAGTTAGGAGCGGGAGACGAGCGAGACGCGCGTGAGTCGTGTGTGTGTGGGCTGCCTAACGCTTGTGTCGCGCCCCGTCCGTGCCCGCATGCCCCCGCGCTCCATCCGCGGTCGTCTCACCCCTCACGTCGTTGTACATACTATCGTGTAACATCCGTATTCATTTCACAGAATCCTATAACAGTGTTACTTTGACTAATAGCTTTTAAGTATCATTATTCGTATATTTGCTGTCGTTTTCCATTTCGTGCTACCACTAGTTAGAAAAGTATTCGAATTAATCGCATGAAAATAATATAATCGTTTCGTTTACAGAGGAAGAAGAAGTAACCACTGTGACATCGAGCGTGAGGAGGAACTCATCGGAAAAAACAATTAGCAGTAGTACTACTACTAAAACTACAAAAGGTGGGTGAATCACTACATTAATGAAACTACGTTTGCAAGCCATAAATTGGGAATCTCAGAATAACTAACAACTTATTATGATACATGTTTGGTTTCAACAGTTATCGAAAGCATGACTCGGCCGGCACCGAAGCCCGTTTCGCCATTTGCCAAGTTCCGACAGCTCGAGAAACAAAACTCAATTAATAGTCCCAAGTAAGTAGTTAATCTCAAAATATTAAACACATATTCACGAAAGACACGGTCTCAATATTTCTCGCAATAAAAACGAAAAAAGTCATACGTATATATTAAAACTACTTTTCAGCTTGATATGTATTAATACGTTATATTTATTTATTTAAGCAGCGATATCTGTGGATGCGATAAGGAATAAATATAAGTAAATATTCAAATTTAATACCTATATAATAAGTATGCAACTATAATAAGTATCTACCATAGTCGCTTCATAGCGTTGTTTATTCGTTTGTAATTTTTTTTATATCAGTATCTCCGGCCGAAAACTAAGTATATGCGGTAATTTTAAATCAAATGAAACTTTTCCTTTATCAAATTTTCTAATTAAAATGATTCTCTCATACGAAATATTTACATGTACAATCATATTTCAATCACGTAGCTATACTTACCCTAAAAATCGTACGGTACTGTTTCTATATACTCAAAAACGTGATATTGAATGCAATAACGTAACATATCAATTCCATTTGAATCGCGCCCGACTATAAACAATAAAAACACATAAATAACACACATTGTCATGTAAATAACCAGTGACATTATCATAACATGCACACGTGACGAGCACACTACGTGACAGCGTACATACTAATTGCGTCTTCTAAATAATAAAACGATGGCTGTCGTCTAAACAGACGATTCTCTTATTTAGACACGATGTCAGCCACAAAGGCTTCAGACGCAGACGAGACTACCCTCTCGAAGCAATCGGGCAACCCTATACATAGTATAGTGCGAATGCGTGTCGAGTCGCGTGATTAACTTAAGCCCCGGTTGTAGCTCACCCAAGTCGCCGCAGAGCCCGGGCTCTCCGTCGCAGCCATTGTTCAAGTTCACGGATCCCGCGCTGCAAGCCAGCGCTCTCACGATAAAAGAACGATTGCTGCAGTGGTGTCGCGACAAGACCCGGGACTACGAGGTACACTTCACACCACTGCCCCTCGAATAACGCCCCACTTTGTTTTATATTAAAACATATATGTAATGATACTAATTCTATTCAATGAAATGCTATGTACTCAAACTTCATACAAATATTACAACGTCATCCATGTAAATGAAAATATTATAAGATTTTGCAATATAACAGTTAGCAATAGTTACAACTTGTTTAAGATTCACAAGAAAGCCATTTTACATATTTATAATAAAACTTATTGGGGTGTTGTAATGTAAAGTGTGTACTAATGCATATTTTTATGGGCCACATATTTGCCAAAAGGTATTTCTCATACCGATCGGTTTGAACTTCGAATATGCATTAGTAACTGTCGGGCGCACGGTTGTGTCGGATGTTGTTCGCGTTATTATATATCGGTTTCGTAGCATGTCCAGCGGCCGCTAAACACACGCACTGACCACTAACACCCGGTGAACCACACCAATCACGTACCACGCTTCATCCTTGCGCTTCATTTTGATCTCACTTTATTATATATTATATATATATCTGTATATAAATATTCAATACGTTTATTTCTTGATAGTCGCCGTATTTTCAATAATAATTTTGTAACTGATTGATTAAATGTAATACATCACATTCCATGTTAATAGGTTTGATAAAAAGATTAATATTAATTAGTACATATAAGATGTGGCATTGAAAGAAGAAATGTTTATTTTAAACAATAAAACTAACAAATTATAATAATTTTGTTTTGAAAGCATGCGTTTGAAAAATTATCTTGAATAAAGCGCGTGACGTTCGATGTTATCGAACATTAAATAATGATTATGCATGAACTTTTGTTTTAATATGTGTCATTGTGTAACAGTGATTGATTGATATAGAGGTTATAAAATAATTTTGTGTGTAAATAGCTCACCACTTTTATTTGATTATTCCCACCTGCACAGTAAATATCTGCAATTATAATAATATTTCCAAAAAAACATTTGATAAATATATGTTTCTTAGCACTAAACACAATGTTGTATATAAATACCGTTAAATCCCTTTCGATTCATTATTACTATAAAAGCTGTAAATTTTTAAACAACACCATATTCATGTTTCTCAATAAATCTGTTACAAAGGATATTGTAAAAATAACGTAAGTTGAAACGTGGCTAGATGATGAAATAAGTAAGGCACTTTTAACTCAATCAAACTTTAAAGTGAACGTGATTCTTGAAGTACACCGGTCATAAAGATAAACTAGCCACATTTCTTCTGTTATCATATGATCTCGGCTAATGGTGCATGTATCCGTAGAATGTGAAGCTGGAGAACTTCTCGACGAGCTGGGCGGACGGACTGGCGTTCTGCGCGCTACTGCACCACTTTCTACCAGAAGCGTTCGACTACTCGAAGCTCACGCCTGAGAAACGTCGCCACAACTTCACGCTCGCCTTCAAAGTTGCCGAGTAAGCAAATGTTCATTTTTTATGCTTATCTAATTAGTTGATATCTAAAAACCCACTTTGTGAAAAGTAGTTTGTGTAGTCCGTTCGGAATGTATTTAATAATTAAGAAGAAATTCATAAAAACTCAGTAAAAATAATATAATAAATAAATATTTATAAACAACTGTTTTTTGTTCAGTGAGAAGGCGGGCATCTATCCCCTACTGGACGTGGACGACATGGTGGCGATGCGCAAACCCGACTGGAAATGCGTGTTCACCTATGTGCAGTCTATCCACCGCCGGTTCAAGGACCAGAACTGACCGGTCCACGTGTGGCGCCGGGGGCATCAGCTCCCAGCAGTCGAACGCTACAGTCACAAAACTTCGTAATTCCTAGGGAGTGTATCATATCGAGTCCAAAGAGCGTGCGTCGTCCTTGCGTTGTTCGTTTATAGTTTGTCAGATTTTATCGTCGGGGCCGCCCGACTCGTCGTTTCTCCGAGCGCCGTCTCGAACTTCCTATTTATCGTACCTATAATCTCAAGATGTATGTGATTTCTTTTATACTAGCACGTAAGTTCGACTAATGGTCGCGATCGTCGCGGCACTCTAGGTCATAGTCCATTATATTCGTCTGTCGCTATCGATTTCGTTCACGGAACGCGGTGCGAAGATCGCGCGACTCATTCGCATCAGAGAGAATGATTCGAGGGCGATCCCACCCGGAACGAACGGAGTCTTGTCATCGTTCAGTTAACAAAACCATTTCGACTATCACATTCGACATCATTAACAACGGCGACTCAGAACCGCCGGATTTTTATCTAATAGATATATTATAATTATGTTAATTTATGTTAATATATGAAATGATACAATAAATATTATTAACAAAGCGTGGAGTTTAATTTATCATTGACCGGCGGAAGGAGCGACGAAACGTCGCCGTGCAAGTTCGGCGAGGAGGAGAACGGCGCACGCGACAGCCGCGACGGTGAAGTAGAGGCAGGCGGCGGTCATGGGTCGGGTAGCGTGTACGGCAGTGCCACCATGAAGGGGTCGGCCACGTTGGTGCTGCGGTCGGCGGTGCCGCGCTCCCCCGCCACGGCGCCGCGGTCCCCCACCACAGTGACGGTGGACGCGCGCGGGGACAGGCGGTCCTCCGCCAGCGTCACGTGCACGTGCAGCGTGCTGTCGCGCCACGCCTGCCACGACGACTGGTGCTCCTGGATCTTGAGCAGCATCCATGTGGTCAGGAGACCGTTCAGCGCACCTGCGACCAGACAGACTAAACTGGACTGATAAATTTGATTTATCTCCGATTTCGGGTCGCCGGCGCCCCCGACTATCGAAAAATCCATTAGGGGAATACCAAATAATATTTTCCTATCTTCTATTTATTTACTTTTTCACAATTTTATATAATTGACCTGAGTTTTATGTAGTGAAGAGTATCTAATGTTTACAACCACTCTATTTACACACATTCTTAAACGTTGTCTATGTTATCAAAATCATAACATTTATAATTTGTTACCACAGAAAACCTATATAAAAGGGGTAAGTACTGAAAATACAAGAAAATACTCAGTATTTTCTTGTATTACGTATTTTCGAGTGGTAAAAGGCAGTTTAGTTTTATTAATGGCTTGTAGAAGCTGCTTGACACTGGCTCGTGAATAGATTTGCAAATCGTCTGCATAGAGGTGCTAGAATAAAGCTAAATGACAGGAAATTAAATTAAAAAATATAGCGAAGAGTAATGAACATAAAACGCTACCCTGAGGCACTCCAACAGAAATATTACACCAATTAGAGAATGAGTCCTCGATGCGTATTTGCTGTCGCTGCCACACGTAACTATGGAACCAAAAAAGCGAAGATCGACATCGACGATGAGGTCACAGGACTGCCTAAATTTTAAACTTAAATAAATAACGCTCTTTTAAAACTGCAACCGCTTTATTTTAAATTTCTCTAGACCTCTGTTTAAGTCGATAAACGATCCAAAAAGTCGATCCAGATATATTGGACAATCGAATAAACCAAGTCGTTAGGTGTCAATAGTATTGTGTTATTCGTATCACACGAAACCATAACGAACCGACAGTACAGTATAAAGTACCCACCAATGATGCCGATGAGCAACGATGAGAAGAGGTTAGCGGCTAGCGCGGCGCCGCCCCCGCGCCGGGCGCCGGCCTGCAGCACGGCGTCGCAGGCGTGCAGCGCGCGCGCGGTGCCCAGCACGCTGGCCGCGCCCAGCGCCGCGCCGCGCCACACGTCCGCCGCCAGCGCGCGGCCCCGCCCCGACCGCGCCCACTCCGCCAGGGACCGCATCCACGACCATCTGCCCATAACCATACACTACACGTTGCCACGTTTTATAAGTAAATAATCAGTACGGACTTATAAAATAGAGTATAACTCTATTAGCATGTTAACAAAGTATTCTTTGTGCATCATTACTACGGTATTAATGATGCTGCTCAAAACTGATGCAATCGTATCTCCATTCCGGAACACAAACAGTACTTATAAATGGTGCGAAGTCGTCAGGGTCGCGTGTAAAAATAGCCGTTCCCCGAGGTTCTATCTTAGGGCCATTTCTATTTTTAATATAAATTATTTACCATTTTTTGTTAAAAACTTATGTAAAATGGTGTTGTTTGCAGATGACACTTCAATGATATTTAACATAGACAGAAATAAGTCTAATTTTGACGATATAAACAATGCTCTCCCACAAGTGGTTCACAATTAAATAATCTTCATTCTTAATACAAAATGCTTAAAAAATCCACTTGGTCCCTGGTACCCTGAGATGGGAATCGAACCCACGACCTTTCGCAATCCGGGCGACTGCTCTAATAACAACCATGTAGAAATCGAGTATTTTAGTCCTCCATCAGCGTTATAATGTTTCCATGTTTCTTGCAAATAAATTTATTCTATTCTCTTTTTTAGAGTACGGTCGATAACCCCACTATATGCCTATTTGTCTCAAAGGACAAAGCTTTACTACTTATCTCTATGTCTCGAAGTAGCCTGAAATCTATATCTGTACTAATAATAAAGCTGAAGAGTTTGTTTATTTGATTGATTGAACTCTATAATCTCAGGAACTACTGGAACGTATTGAATTTTTTTTTGTGTTGAATAGTCCACTTATCAAGGAAGGCTATAGGCTATATAACATCACGCTATGACTTATATGAGTGGAGCAGTGATGTAAAATGTCACAAAACCGGGAAAATATCTTCCTTTTTTTAAGTTTTCCTTGCGTGCGCTGTGTAAACGTGAAAGTTACGCAAAAAACCATGTATTACGAAATTTATCCCACTTGAAAATTCTGAAAAATAGTCCACGGCGGTGTATGTCTATCTTATATCGTATCCTAAAAAGCACACAAAGGGATGAAAATACAAAAAGTCAAAAGTCAAAATAATCTCTATTCAAATAGACTTCTTAAAAGTACTTTTGAATCGTCCAACATTTTTTCCGTACCACTCGTTCAGGACGTCTTTTGGCTGATAAGAAGAACGAGCAAGAAACTCGCTCTAATAAGAGTAATGACATTTACAAGAACCATGTCATTACCAGATCAATACATTATAAACAGAGATAGAAAAAAAAGAAAAAAAAGTCTTATAATAATAACATAATCATTTAATAATAATGGAAACAAGATAATGGGTTTAGAAGTAATCACCTATCCAGTTGCTGGATCATCTCAAGTCCAAGCGTTCTTATCTGTTATATAATCGGATACCTTATAATAAGCTTTTTTAATAAGTATTTTTTTAATAGTAGATTTAAACTGCATGATATCTAATTGTTGTATTTTGCTTGGGACCTTATTGTAGAAGCGCACAAAAAGACCCCTGAATGAGTTATTAACTTTTTGCAGTCTAGTGACAGGCACCGTTAATTTATTTTTATTTCTAGTATTAATATTGTGTACATCACTTTTTATAGAAAACAAACTAATATTTTTACGAACGTACATTAAGTTCTCGTATATGTATTGAGAAGCAACAGTCATAACGTCTATTTCCTTAAATTTCTCCCTTAAAGAGTCCCTAATCCTAAGATTATAAATTGATCGAATTGCTCTTTTCTGAAGCACAAAAATTGTTTGTATGTCGGCAGCATTTCCCCACAATAGGATACCGTACGACATAACACTATGAAAGTAACTGAAGTATACTAATCTGGCAGTAACTATGTCAGTTAACCTACGTATCTTCATTACGGCATATGCTGCAGAGCTAAGTCTACTCGACAATCTATCAATATGTGGGCCCCACTGTAGTTTAGAATCTAATGTTACTCCTAAAAATACTGTGGTATCCACAAGGCCCATGTTCTTATCTTTTATATTAACATTTATATCTACTTTTTTAACATTAGGTAGTACAAATTTTAAGCATTTTGTTTTTCCTTCATTAAGGAGAAGATTATTTATATTAAACCAATGTGATTATTTACATTAAACCAAAAAAAATGTAATAAAGGTAGGTAACGATTATGAAATAATTTTGTATTAAGATTATGAAATAAACAATGAATAATTATAATCTATGTCAAAAGTAATTATAGTCTAATCCTTTTCCAAATCCATTATCAACTCAAACTATCGATATTAACGGTGTGAGATCATTTGGATCACAAGTAAAAATGGGAGTTCCCCAGGGATCTATTCTGGGTCCCTTTCTGTTTCTAACTTACATAAATAATAAATGATTTGCCATTTTTTGCCGAAACTTTATGTGATATAGTATTTTTTGCAGATGATACTTCTTTAATATTTAATATTGATAGATGTAAAAATAATTTTGACGATGTAAACAATGCTCTATCACAGATTATGACCTGGTTTACTGTAAATAATCTCCAGTTAAATGCTAAAAAAACGAAATGTATAAAGTTTATGTTACCTAATGTAAAAGCTGAACTTACAGAAATTAAACTTAATAATGAAAAGCTCGAGTTGTTTGATTCAACAATCTTCTTAGGTGTAACGCTGAATTCTAAATTGCAATGGCATTCTCACATTTCATTATTGGAAGGAAAACGAAGTTCAGCTGCCTTTGCAATAAAAAAAAATAGGCAACTTACAGATGTAGATACCGCTAGGACAGTATACTTTAGTTATTTCCATAGCGTTATGTCATATGGCATTCTGATATGGGGTATGGCTGCAGATATAGAGTCTATATTTATTTTACAAAAAAGAGCAGTAAGGGCCATTTATCAATTGGGTTCAAGAACGTCACTTAGAGATAAATTTAAAGAAATTGGGATATTAACAGTGGCCTCCCAATTCATATACAATTGTATACTTTATATTAGAAACAATATTAACAATTATAATGAACATAGTCATATACACAATTTTAATACTAGAAACAAAGATAAACTTGTTTTGCCGTCATGCAGGCTAAAGAAGGTTCTATCGTCATTTATGGGTCAAGGTGTACACTACTATAACAAAATTCCTATGGAAATTTTAAATTTACCATTACCTAAGTTTAAAACCCATATTAAGAATTGTCTACTCAGTAAAAGATATTATACTATTAATGAATATTTAAACGACAAAACTGCTTGGAGTTAAATATGGCTCATTTTTCATATATATTAAATTGTTAATCGGTGAGCTTCTTTGGCTACAAATGTGATTGGATTGCAATATTGTAATGGAAAGTGACTTCAAATTTTAATGAAGTCATTTTTCAATTTTGACGCTCTGTATGAAATAAAACAGGGAGAAAAAAGCAGCCCTTGCCGAGTTTCTTGCCGGTTCTTCTCGGTACAAGGTCTCCCGCCGTAGATTTACGAACCGATGGCGTAGCTCTCGACTTTCACAAGTGCTTGTAACAGCCTAGACTGAATAAATGATTTTGATTTGATTTGATTAAATGATTTAAGCTCTTTACGCAGGATTTAATAATGTTTTAATTAATTCAAATCTGAACAATCCTTGTCGCTTCTATTAAATGCATATATGTTTGTTTAATACACGATAAAATGTAATATTTAGCGCAGCTACTAATCACTAGATGACACTTCTATGCTTTTAAAACGGGATTTTGATGAAGATTTTATCTTTTCCGATTTTTATCCAACAAAATATTGGTATTTTCAATTTCTGCAGTTTTTCTAATAAAAATAATTATTAATAGGGCGAAAAAACTTACGTTTAGCTGTCGCTACTGATCACTAGATGACGCTACTGTACTTTTAAAACAGAATTTTAATTTTTGATATGTTTGTCATCTTTTTTCCGACTTTTATAAAACAAAGTAGCTTTCATTATAATTATATGCAATCGGGTCTTGTTCGTGCATTTTTTAAAACAACTAATTTTTTACAAGAACAAGACCCGATTGCATATAATTATAATGTATACAAATCGTGTGAGTTTAAAAATAAAGTAGCTTTCGTTTTTAATTTTGCGTTTTTTCAAATAACATAATTAAATGGGGAATTTTTAATCAGGCGAAAAATAAAATGATACAATTAACTAGATACATGCTAGATGGCACTACTGTATTATTGAATAAATGAATTAATTTTTATGCTGGTACAAACATGAGATAAATGAGATACAATTTTTAGGATATAAATTACAACGTTATTAAAACGTTGTTTTGATTTCTTTAATGTTTTTCGTATTTATTGTTTAAGCGATTTTTATCAAAGTTGCTTTAATTTTTCAATTTTGCTGTTCCATAGTCAATTAGGAACCCTTATAGTTTCGTCATGTCTGTCTGTATGTCGGTCTGCGGTTTAACTTTAAAAACGATTTGTATTAAAAAGGTGTAATTTAACATGGTACACACTTTAATCAAGCCGACAAAGTGGTAAAATAAAATGTAAAGTTGAGGATGAAAAATCGATTTTTATATTCCCATTACTTGGGGTATCGTTGTACAGATAAGAAGGCCGTTTTTCGATTTTGTTAATCGTTCGTAACTTATCTAAGCTTCAATGTACCAATTTTCATTAGATTCAATGCCCCCTCGCTTACCAACTAAACTGTTGTTGTAAGAAACTCAACGTTACAACAGTAGTATAAATACGAATTTAATAGGAAAATCATCGCACTTAAGTTGGCTCTACAAATTTACGAGTAATAGTCGACTAAATGTATTTAATTCGAAAATTGCGAGGGATTCCTTTGAAAAAACAAACCTGTTTTTTATGGATAAATCATTATCAATAAAAAAGCGCATAAAAAACAGGTCAAATCAGCGTAAGTGCACTTGGCCAGTTTTTTTTTAATAGTATATTTAAGTGGAGAATTATTCATCGTACAACAAAATATTATATGAGTGACTATTAACTAGACACTTTAATACCTAACTGAGGGGCGTTAATTATGTTTCCGAAAAATGTAGTATATAATAAATTAGGTGAATAAAATATCTTCAATACCTACAAGCTGAAGAGATGGTAGAATATCCGTTGACAATTTCACGCACGTCACGCAATAAAATTTGTAAAAATGCTGAATTGTGAAAGCTAGAACAAGCTGACTGTTAAGTTGCTATTAGGATCATGAGTAGAATAAGATTTCAATAAAAGGACGATATCATAAGCTCTGTATATTTTGGGTAGAAAAAATAAGTATATCATCAAACTATTCAGTATAAACAGTCTTCAAAAGTAGTATATAACGTCAATCCCTACAACGTTAATAATTAATTTAACAATATGAACCGAGAATCAGCAAAAAGATAGTGAAAATAGCGACAGTGAAAAACCGTTAAGAAAAATAAAATAATCTGCACAAAACCTTGTGATTGAAGAAATTCCCGATAACAGTGAATTGCCGAAGACCTATTAAAAGAAAACCATCGGAAAAAATCTCAATAAGATATGGTTATTTAAAATAAATCACATTATAACCTTAAAAACAAATCAATCACTACAATTCATACAGATCAATGGTCACCATCTGTTGATACTATGTGAAACTCGATATACATCACCAAACTTATTTAGTAATTACAAGCATATCCTAAATCTTGGTAATATACCTCGTGTGTTCATAAGTTTTGAGACGAAATAAAAGTTGCGTAACGTTTTTTAATAATTAACTTGTTTTTCTAAAATTTTCAGTAACCATTAAAAAGATAATAATCAACAATGGAATATATACATTTTATTCAAGATGACCGCCCTTATTTTTAATACAGCCCCTTAGATGATTTGGCCAGTCATCAATGGCTGCACGAATGGGAATTGGCTTTGCTTCTCGAACAAGGGTTCGCTTCAGTGACTCCAAGTTTGGATGGACTTTCGCCAGGCCGTGAGCCCTTATTCAATCCATAAATAATAATCCAGCGGGTTGAGGTCGGGGCTGGAGGAGGGCCACTCGTCCGCCGCGATGAAAGCCGGCACGTTCTCCCTCAACCAAGCTTGAGTGCTTTTAGCCTTATACGAGGGTCAAACTGAAAGTTCTTAGAAAATCAAAAACTGATTACATTAGCCAGTTATTAGTTTTATTATATCTTTTCAAAATATTGTCCATTCACGTCAATACACCGCTGCATGCGATGGAACCACTGGGAAAAGCACTTTGCCCACTCGTCCTTAGGGGTCTCTTCAATGGCATCGCGATACGCAGCCACCGCTTCTTCAGCATTCATAAACCGCTTTCCTTTAAGTTTTTCTTTAATTTTTGGAAATAAATAAAAATCACAAGGCGCGAGGTCGGGGCTATACGGCGGGTGACCCAGTAATTCAACGTTTGATGTCGCCAAATAGTCGATCGTTCGCTTGGCGGTGTGCGACGAGGCGTTGTCGTGGTGAAGGAGGATCCTACTGCGAGGTCGTTTCTCTCGAACTTTTTCCAAGACAAGTGGCAAACAATTGGTAGTGTACCATTCTGCAGAAACTGTTTTTTGATCCTCTAACACAATTGTTGCAAAATGACCTATCCTTCCAAAGAACGAGGCCACCATTTTTTTTCCCGCACTTCGATCTCTCTTCACTTTAGTTGGCAACTCCTCGAAAGGAAACACCCACTGAGCAGATTGTCTTTTGGTTTTAGGATCATAACAGTAAATCCAGCTTTCGTCACCTGTTAGTATGTCGAACACAGCATTTGAGTCACCTCCGTTAAATCTTTCAATCATTTTACGACACCAATCCACACGATGGAGTTTTTGAGCCTCAGTCAAATTATGAGGTATCCACCGGGCGCAAAGCTTCCTGACCGCTAAATGTTCGTGGAGGATTTTGTGCACTTGACTCATACCGATGCCTAAGCTTGTCCGAATCTGTTGATAGGTCACTCTTTTGTCAGTCTCTATCATACGCCGCACAACACAGATGTTATCTTCAGTCGTCGCCGTAGAAGGCCGTCCCTCACGTAAATCATCAGTGAGATTAGTGCGACCACGTTTAAACTCATTAAACCAGTTGTAAACAGTCGCACGAGATGGGGCTTCATCGTGAAAGGCCAATCGTAGTCTATCATAACTTTCTTGTTGACTTAAATGACATCGAAAGTCATAAAAAATCATTGCACGAAAATTTTCTCGTGTTAAATTCATGATGACGTGACACAGACAATTTTCAATTTGCCGCCAAATCGTAAAACAAATGACAAATGAATGAAATATATACTCAGTAATATTGGCAAAGAGTTATATTTTCAAATTTTAGAATTATTTTTTTATTATATTGTTTATAAGTGGCCAGTTCTAAGAACTTTCAGTTTGACCCTCGTAGGATTGGCACCGAGTCTTGCTGAAAATCCCAATCCTTATTGTGAAATAACATATCAGACAGGGATTTCACCACCGGCTCTAAAATTTCACTCTGATAATTCTTGACTTTCACCTTGAGACCGTGAAATGCAGCGAAGTGACACATTCATACGAAACTCCCCACCATACCATCATACAATTTTGATGTCCACCGGCGTCCTCACAGAGCATGGTACCGCTGTATTGTGTTATATACGAAGTTACGGCTTACATGAAAACTTTTCAGCTCGCGGAAAATCTGCGTCGGTTTTTTTCCCACCTTAAATGGCGAAATGACAGTTGCGCGTAATTGTTTCGTTCTCTGCATCATGACAAAATATAAACAAATGAATTTGCGATACAAATAAACTAAAAGTTAATATTCCAAATTCAAAATCGGAAAAAAAACAGCTAGTATATATTTTACTTTTTCAGTACAAATCAAAAAATATGAGCATTGAAAAAGACATGTTAGCAACGAGAACCTAGAAAAATATAGACATCAATTAAAATCAATTGATTGGAAAAAATAAATCAATTGATTTTAATATAGTTCATAAAACATTTATTAATATCTTAAATAATTGCATACCAAATCAATCCATAAAAATTAAAAATACAAATAAAAAATTTTGGCTAACCAAGGGTATAAAAAAATCGTGTTAAAACAAGAGATTGCAAAAATCTCACATTACTTGGTCAAAAAATAAAATACTTACGGATTATTATAAGAAATATGAAAAAAAAATAGTTATAATGTCAAAAAATTACAATATTTTAATAAAATGAAACAATCTATCTAATAATAAAATAAAAAGAATGGGGCATATTATTCGTAAATGTACCAATAAAATAAATTCAAAAGAACATTCTAATATAAAAATAAACACAAAGAATATGATCACATCAAATCCCAAACTGGAAACCAAAGCAAATAATGTTAAAAAAACAAGTACAATCTAAACTATAGCAAAAGCGACTATAGACAGTAATAATTTTACTTGTGACTCCTGGTGACGACATAATGATGCCTGCAGAGCTCGCAGTAGGAGGTAGCGGCCTGCAGCAGCCACCGCTCGAGGCAAGTGCGGTGTACGGCGGCGATAGTGCCGCGGCAGGAGCACGGCCTCACCAGCCGCTCGGCAGACTCCCCGCCGAAGCAAATGCGACATATGTTGTCTGAGTGTCGACTGCCGGTGAAACTTGAAACCTCCTTCGCAACTGCTGAGGAACCCTGATGAGATATTCAACATTACTTTTATTAATATATTGTATTATTATACTTATACTTTTACAAATACATGTGAAAGTATAACAAAGGACTATCCATTTTGGAGAAAAAATCTATTAGAAAAATATCTGATTACCTCTATAGCGAATGTAAAAATTAAATGTCGAGTGCATTGACTGACAAGCGATAAGTAGGTAAGGTAATTTAAATATTATTAGGTAAGGTAATTTTAATATTAATATATATTTAATTTGGATATGTTCACACGTATTGTTAGTAATTACTTACCAATTAGCCCTAAGGCCAGTCGATAGCTGAAGCTACATATTAAGGATATTCAGTAGAGTTGTTAAAACTCACTTGTTTGTTGAGCAGCAGCGCACAGACCGAACCTAGGATGGACATGGAGCGGCCGGTGGGCTGCAGCAGCGAGGACGCCGGCGACGAGAACGTCAACGAGTCTGCAATACGCGCGCGCAGCTGCCGCTCCTCCGCCTCATATCCGCCCACTGCTCTCACACACATGAAATTCATATTACTATCCAGCACAGGGTGCACCTATGATTGTGTCACCTATTGACCAAAATGTAACTTCACCTACATATAGAGTGAAATAAATTGGATTCTTTAGGTACGTGTTATTAAGTCTGACATTATGTACGCGCAAAGCTTGTTTTTATGAAAGTTTTTAATAGCGGGCTTACTTAATCTAGAGTATTAATGATCATATACCCACCTGGAGACGCGATCCCCGGTGATCGACAGCTGATGTCAGTCTGCTGAGCCGTCGAGCGGACTTCCCCCCGCTCTCGATTATTGTTCAGGCCATTCGTCTAATGTGAGAATTCAAATTTAGGAAAACTATAAAAAGCAACAGAAAACGATAACAATTTTCTTAGAGATCCTTTTTTCTACGAATAAAAAGCTTAAGAAAGTGATTGGCACATAAGTTTCTTGATTGCCACATCGAAGGGTATTTGAGGTCATATTCTATTCCCGGTCGGGTCAGTCTGCAAATTGATTTTCTAGGTCTCTGATCAAGTATTTATGGTCCAATCGCTATTACAATTTTCTTTACTACAAATGCTGATGTAAATGACTTGAGATATTGCGAGTGAGTACATAATATTCATATAAACTGTATTTGCAAACTCAAGAACTAACGATAACACACGCGAAGGCTAATTTATACGCATAAAATATAATAATATGAAAATTAATCCACATCTCACGGGCAAATGAATAGAAGAGCAGCTGGACGTGGACATGACGGTGAACCTGCTCTCAGATCGATTGCAGCCCCAGAACATCAACAGGGTCTCACCCTCTCCCACATTGCATTCCTGCTTTAGCGAAACATAAAGACCCTCTAATAACCATTGTATGGTCTGTCTCACGAAAGAAGTCCCGTAACTCTTATTCCTTTGTAATAAAAGCGAAAACATTATGATCCGAGAGACTTCTTTCGTGAGACGAACTTAATCAAATTGCAATGGTTTTTTTTTATATGTGGGTAACCTAGTGTTGCTAGAAAATTATAATGTGACATTATAATACAAAAAAGGTAAGGTTATCACTATTTCAGTACCCGTAGCAAATTAGAGAAGCTGCAGCTTCTGTGGAATCTGAAGTTGATATTTTTCAAAGCTTGCTGGATATTTGGTTTGTAGAGTTCTGGGAAAAGAACCGCGTGCCTCAAGTTTTGGATTGCATCACTCGGAAATGGTTCGATCTCGCCCGCGTTCACCAAACTGTCGAGCGCTACAAATTTGCGCATTTTTCATTGTGGCTACAAAGCCATATTTGTACTATTGTATTTATATAATTTTTTTAAGTATTTTGATTACAGCTTAAGGAATATGTCATCATGACAAATACTGACATTAATACAAGGTTAATATTTTTGTTATTGACTCTTTATGTGTAAACTCCACCAACGTGACATTGGCGAAATTGTGAAAACGCAAATAGGCCATGAAATAAAAACGAAGAAGAAAAAAGCTTGTTCCTAGATGAGTATTTCTCAAAAAAAAATATGTAGTTTATTGTCATTAGTGATTACTACGTTTTCGTAACACATAACTTCTTAGCTTCTTTTAACAATACGGTAGGTATTATTTATTCATCTTATTGAATTACGAGTGAACGAGATTTAATAAGCTTTACCGATTATTGTATTGGGTCACCACTTTACTGAAATGTTATGTGTTTTATTTATTAGTATATAGGTTGATATTTAACTTATTGATAAGTTTACTATCTGACTCTATTTATACGAAGGATCGGTAAAATAAATAAACGTGTTCACAGTTATGAATTTACTTTCAGACTATTTGATGTTGAAGTGCCACTTACAAAATACAAAATATCATAGATTACGTTGCCACAGAGTGGTCGACAAAGATTATAAAACATATCTTAATTATTATGATTGCTTAAATCAAGGTATTTTTGGAGCAATATGAATAGCGATATAAAAAAATATGTCCAAAGTTGCATTCCTTGTCAAAAAAGTAAAATACAACGCCACACATTTACACCGATAGGCGAATTTGATGGTGCGTCACGCTTCGAACATGTACATATAGATATCATAGGTCCGTTACCCAACCATTGAATTGCTAGGCCCTCATTTCTTTTAATTTATGTTATAATTTCATTATTGTTATAATGAATGTCGTTTCGTTACGAAAACGTATATACTAAAACCAGCTACATCCTGTCTGATTAAGTTCACTTCCGAATTTACAAAAATCTATTAGTTACTAATGATTTTAAAGATACGTTTGTGGGTGTGGTTACACAAAATTTACGAGATGTGATGAAAAAGTTATGTGGTGCATTAAAATGATAAAAAGCTTTTAAATCTTATTAATCTAAATTTTTACTAATTATGACCACTTTAGAGTATATTGAAAATAAAAGTCGCAGGGAAAAAATGTTGGATGATTCAAAAGTACTTTTAAGAAGTCTATTTGAATAAAGATTATTTTGACTTTGACTTGCATACGAGGAAATAGTCATAGAGAAAGAGTAATAGTATTAATAATAAACTTCATAAATTATTATAAAATTATTTAATTTTTGAAAACTCTGTGCATGACTTTAACGTCACCGGAACCTTGATGACTTTGACGCTTTGATTTTTTTTTAAAGATTGAGTTATAATTATGATTTTGTTATAATTGACTTGTTATAATGAATGAAGTTATAATTGATGATTAAACGAACTTACCTAAGTGAAGTTCGATCATAATTATACGAAGTGCCTCGTCCGAAGAGATTAGTATACTTACTTATTATTTTTTGTAATTATAAACACTATGTAGATATTGAGAGATAGGAAATATTTATTTATTATAATGAATAAGGTAACTATATAAGTATATAATGATTTATTGCACTTTATATAATTCCAACGCAAGTATAAATTATTTTTACTTTCTTCTATAATCATTATTCAATTAAGAGCAAATTGTTATAAATCCATAGTTCTTGCTAGAGCAGAAAAATCATTGTTACTTAAAATAGGTCGATTATAATGCTTTGCAAAGACACTGGAATTGCCGCTCCAACCTGCTGTTTTTCTTATTAAGTCTATGTTAACCCCGTTGTGGTAGGCAGATGATGTTGCTGCATGGCGGGTGCTATGAGCAGAAAAAATGGATACGTCAATTCCACTGTCTTTCATAGTGGATTTAATCCATCTGCTGATTGTTTGAGAGGAAACAGACTTGTGAGGAGTTCTAAAACTTATAAATAGGTTATTGTTAGAATCTCTTATGTCTTTAGTTACATTCACATACGAAGTTAACGTGGCTGCAGGGCATATAGAAACTTTGTTTTTAAAATAAGGTAAGTGTAAAGCTGGTTGAAGACATCCAGCTTTAGAAGTTTTAATTAATTCTGGAATTTTTATGATTAGTTGATCCTTTAAATAAATTATATTATTAATTTAATTTTTGACAATGTTTGTACTCTATGTGCAGTGACGATGCCTATAAGTGTAACACATTTCTTTGATAATCTTTCTAAGGATATTTCATTGTGAGGGTACATTTTGGACAAATAATTTAATAAAATATTTACATCCCAAGTTATATTGTATCGGGGTAAGGAAGGTCTTAGTTTGTATACGCCCTTACAAAATCTTTTAATCAAATCATCTTCTATTGGTCCGGTTAAAATTGATATTGCCGATCTATAACAATTTATTGTTTGATATTGACTACCGGTATTGAATGTATTCGTAAGAAATCTGATTATTGATGGAACGGGTGGGTTATACATATCAATATCGTTTTCTGTACAATAATTATACCATTTTCGTAAGCATGAATCGTATTGTTTCATGGTATTATTTGATAGAGATGCTAACATTATCTCAATAGACTCTAATGGTACCTTTCTTAGCAGGAGCCCCGTGCGGATAAGATCGCGGCCTCCAGGGTAAGGTTGTGATGTATGCTTCTGGAATGAGACACAGTGAAATGTTGTGGACGTAATTGTACTACTTTTGACACAACTAGGCGGCGAAATAGTGGATACCATGGTTGTGTGGGCCACGTTGGTACTACCATGATGCCTGTACCGTCATCTGATATAATCTTTCTCAGGGTTTTTAAAATTATTGCAACTGGTGGAAAGGCGTAAAAGAAGCAGTTGGCCCACGTAAAAGTAAAGGCATCAATGGCGTATGCATCTGGGTCGCGATTCCATGAAGCATAAACTTCACATTTTTTATTAAGTCTATTTGCAAATAAATCAATTTGAGGGTAACCAAGATTTTTTGTTATTTGATCAAAACCTGTCACAGTAAGTTCCCATTCAATATCGGGATGTGAACGTCTCGATTCGCGGTCAGCAATAACATTTTCGGATGATTTAATATACGCAGCGTTTAAGGTTATACAGCGACATTCACACCACTGCCAAATATTTCTCGTTATGCTATTAAGATTAGGGTATTGTATCCCACCCATACGATTTATATAGCTCACGGCGGTAGTGTTATCGACACGTAGGAGTATTTGACAGTCTGAACAGTATTTAGCGAATACTTTTAAAGCAAAAAATGCAGCTAATAATTCTAAGTAATTAATATGTAAAAGTTGTTCCGATTCTGACCACCGGCCACTAGCAGTTTGGCCATTACAAGCCGCTCCCCATCCCGTTGTTGATGCATCAGAATAAATTTCTATGGTATAATTATCATTCTTTATCTTTTTTACACCATCCTTTACCATATTTAACCACCATTCTAAATCAGAGTGTAAGGAAAAAGGAATAATCATATTTCTGTCATAATCATCATGCCCCTTTAAGTTTAAGTATTTCCAACGTTCAAGTTCTTTAGTATATAACCATCCATATTCGATTGCTGGACAAGAAGAAACTAACAATCCTATTAATTGTGCAAACTTGCGAATTTTGCATTTTTGCAATTGTTTTATTTCTAAAATATCTTTTATAATTCTATTTCGTTTTTCTCGAGGTAAAGATATATGCCATTTATATGAATCAATTTCAAAACCTAAATATTTGCTATGCATGGATGGAATCGAATTACTTTTTTCTTTATTTATCAAAAAACCTAAAGATTGTAATAACCCTTTTGTAGCATTAACATTTTCTAAACACTCCGAATATGTCGATTCGGTTAAAAATAAATCGTCGAGATATATCGACGATAAGTATCCACAAGATCTTAATAATTTTACTACAGGCTTCATAAGTTTTGTGAAAACATAAGGGGCTGTACTCAACCCAAATGGTAGAACATTAAATTCATACATTTGTTTACTGTTTAGATCATTTTTATCCATAATAATGAACCTCAAATATTTCTTTGAATTAGGGTGAATGTTAATTAAAAAGTATGCATCTTTAAGGTCTAGGGTTGTCATGAAACAATTTCTTGAGATTAATTTTAGAACTGTTCGCAAGTCCTCTAATTTGAAGTGATTAACCCTAATAAATCTATTTAAGTTTTTTAAATTTAGAATGAATCTCAGCTTTCCATTAGGTTTAGGTACCAAAAAAAACCCGTGAAACATATTGATCATTACAAGGTGCACAGGCGGAGATAGCTCCAATTGAAAGTAAATGTTGAATTGATTCAAGATAATGCCGTTTTTCTAAACAAGAACCGATATCTGTGATTGGTGGGTTTTGCTGAAAAACCCGTTTATCAAACGGAATCTCATAACCATGAATCCATGAGAGTACTGATTGGTCCTCGGTGATGAGCGACCATTGTTTGAAAAAATGTCGTAATCTGCCTGCATAACGTACCTTGTCTGCACCTAACGCCTCCTTGTCTGTCTGGGCCGATAAGATGATGCCGTTGAGGGCTGACCGCGCACACTCGATGTGGGTGGTAACGACGGAGGAGTTGGTGGCAGGTAGCTCGACATCGGACGTGTTGTGGTGGACGGCTGGTGGTGGTAGCGCTGAGGACCCGGCGCCGCCCTGCGACTCCCGGGACCCGGCTTTTGGTTTAAATTCCTGCTCTGTTTTGGTCTTCTTCTAATTTCTACTTTTAAGTCAATGGACGATCTCGAAACAGCTTTTGCAGTCTTAATGGTTTCTGCCAAATCTTGTCCGAACAAAAATCGGTCAATTTTAGTATTGTTTAATTGTTCTTTTAAATCTTTTTTTAAAGAATAGAGTGCATAAGCACGACGTGCCTTTGATTGCATATGCTGGACATCGCACAAGATACGACTGGCGTCCATTAGGCTCTTTAATAATTCACTATCCCTTCCGCTGCTTGAAATTTGCGTACTCATTATATTACCAAGACATGTGATTGCGGCTGCGATTTGTTTTTGATTAATCTCTATCGATCTATCCCGTTTAACAATATAGTCTGGAGTAGCCGCCTTGATCTCAGGATTTAGTATGGGAGCTGATAAATCTTTGCAATTTGATGGGGTCAGGTATTTTTGTAATAACTCTCTTCTATTATCCTTGTCAAGACCATGGGTGGCGATAAAGTTTAGCCGACTTGCTAGTTCGTGATTGATATTTGGACCGTATTCCTCAATGTTTGAGGGGTCCGTGCCTAATATATCGAGTAAATCGGAATCTAAACCTGGTTCTGAATTAGCCGGGGCAATTTCGTCGAAAGTATCATCTTTTTCAACGGTCGTAGGTTCTTCAATAACTCCTGCTGATGACGTTTTGTCTTCCAGAAAGGTTGGCTCCGGTATGGTTGGTATTTGGGCAGTGGCTGGCTCTGTTATCGTAGCCGGTGAAATGTCATTGTGACCTAAAACAAAGGTTAACTCGTATAACTTTATGTTATAACCTACACGCCAATATTTGGTAAGATATGACCACCTCGGGTGGATCACGAATGATATCTCCGTGTTCATGTTATTGAATTACGGAGGACAACTCACACGTCAGTCGTAAAGACTGGTCTTGGCACCATGGATGCCGAATGTAGTAAATACATTCCTTGAAAGTTATTACTTTCGCATCAGTCAGGGAGACTGGTATGAGCATCATGAATGCTAATGGTTTGGGCACCATGGATGCCAAAGTATTAGACACATTCCTTGAAAGTTATTACTTCGCATCAGTCAGGGGGACTGGTATGAGCATCATGGATGCTAATGGTTTGGGCACCATGGATGCCAAATGTATTAAATACATTCCTTGAAAGTTATTACTTTCGCATCAGTCAGGAAGACTGGTATGAGCATTGACTATATGATCGCCTTGGGCGCATAAAATTTACCTCGTTCAGATAATGGTGAGTATGGCGGCGGAGTAGGTGATGCGTTTCTCGAACTTGATGTAGACGAACTTTCCGAACTTTCAGAAGATCCAGATGAAAGCTTTAGTTGACGATGACGATTTGAGACTTTTAATTTTTTCTCTAATTTCTTAATTTTATTGGCTAAATATTGAAAAGCATCATTACGCTTTCTTTTAGGCATCTTGTTAATACGTGCGAAGTGGCTGAGCATTAAAAGGCGAATGAGGGCACTGGGGTTGTCAGTTGGCGGGTGGGGAGGCTTTGGCGGGAAGTCAATGTTACCAACTATAAAAAATAATAATAATAATAAAAAAAAATTGCATTTAACCGGAAGTTAAAGAATAGACAGTCATTTTCAGTCTAATATATATATTTAGACGGTAAATGACACAATCTCCTGAACATAGTGCTGAATGTGGCAACACTTAGGCGTTACTACATAGTGTTTATAATTACAAAAAATAATAAGTAAGTATACTAATCTCGAGGACGAGGCACGAGTATAATTATGATTTTAATAGTTGAAAAAGTTTTTTAATTTGTAATTTTCCTTTCTGTCGGATGGCGTATATTTCATGTAAACCCCAAATCACATCTAAGGTACAGACTTTAGGTAAACCAATTAGGTTCACAGTCAGTTTTTTTTGTTAGGACTGCAATGTCCTTCACTTGCACGCTAACTATTAGTTTTTAACTAACTGCTTAACTGGGAAATATTCCAGGAGATGATTTTACTTTTAAAAAAATGCAGCGTGTGTTTACAAAAACATAGACCCAACTCAAGCATAATACCATTTTGTGCTATTTTCAAATAACGTCACGCGGGGCTATTTTAAACAAGGTTCCAGCTCATTGCAACACATCAACAGCATGCATAGCTTGAAAAACAAGAGGAGGTTTTGTCTACATCCAAATGTCACTTTTCTGAATCCATAACAGGTCGGACGGGGTCGGACAGATTCACGCCAAGAAGCCCCGAGAACACCCGAGACTCGTGAATGCGATACATTTCTCGCCTTCTCATTTCTTTAAATTTCTTCTCAAGAAGGCTCGGCAAGACTTCTCGGCGTGTGTATGTCCATTATAGGAAAATAAACAAACAGAAAGCAAGTTTCTAACGAAAAAGCTATAGTTCCAATGTGTTTAAGATTTTCTCCCATATACAACTTTTATTCATAAAATGCAAGCCAACATGTAACGCCATCTTTTATCGAGTAGAATTAGAAGTTTATATGGACGATGTAAAACTTTAAGATCCAGAGCCGATAACACCAATAAAAAAGTAAAACTTCAAATCAAACTAATGACAATGGGCCGCCATTCATTCATTCATTTCATTAATTTCCTCGTTTTTGTGGTGTTCTACACGTGAATTTGGATTACAAATACTATTGTAAAATATCTTATTACTGATTCAATTACTGTCTATCTTGCAATAAAGTTTATTATAAACATGGCAGTTCGTGTGCAATTCGAAAACAATAATGAAGTGGGAGTATTTAGCAAGTTAACAAATTCTTATTGTCTCGTCGCAATTGGCGGATCAGAAAATTTCTACAGCGTGTTCGAGGCTGAATTGGCGGATACAATCCCAGTGGTACACGTCAGCATTGCCGGATGCCGCATCATAGGACGCATGACCGTAGCTAACAAAAATGGACTGCTCGTACCCTCGTCCACGACCGACACAGAGTTGCAACACATTAGAAACAGTTTACCGGACAGCGTAAAGGTACAACGAGTGGAAGAGCGTCTGAGTGCACTCGGCAACGTGATAACATGTAACGACTACGTCGCACTTGTGCATCCTGACTTGGATCGCGATACCGAAGAAATCCTCGCCGACACGCTGGGTGTCGAAGTGTTCAGGCAAACAGTGGCGGGAAATGTTCTCGTCGGTACCTATGCAGCACTGAGCAACAGAGGAGGCCTTGTTCACCCAAAAACTACAATTCAAGACCAAGATGAACTGTCATCCCTCCTTCAAGTTCCTTTAGTGGCAGGTACAGTGAACAGAGGCAGTGAAGTCATCGCTGGTGGACTTGTAGTGAATGATTGGTGTGCATTCTGTGGTATGGACACAACATCTACAGAAATTTCAGTAATAGAAAGTGTTTTCAAATTGAATGATGCCAAGCCGACAGCAATCACATCAACAATGCGTGCTTCACTCATTGACAGTATGTCATAACATTAACTTTTGTTAATCAATTATAAATTATGTGATATTGTTATGTTACAGTTAAATCGAGATAACTTCAAATTTTCTGTCACTTGAGCAGATTGCGCAATATTTGAAACCATAATGTGTAAGTCTATTAAACATTACAAAATTCATGAAACTATTATTTTTTTTGTTGAGGTAAAATAAAAACATTGCAATTAATTCTTATAATATGATTTATTTAAATAAACATTTACATTAACACAAGTCCTTCACATACAGTTGCCACACATGTTCCTCTGGAAGTACCAACAATCTTATCATTATAAATAATAGGAACCCCAAAATTAATTGTAAATTAGTGACAGAAGCAAAACCATTTAATTTTTTGTTATGATATTGCCACACATTTTTTTATGTAACAATTAAGCAATTGCTATAAAAATATCACAACATAAAACATGTGAAATCATCTTTTATATATAACTAATGATTTCTACAACATATATATACCACTATAACTTACAAATCAAAGACACTTTGTGCCCAGTTAGGTTATGTACCTACAATGGAGGCATGTTATTGGAAGTATTGTCAGTTTATAATCTGTCTTATTAGACTAATGTAGGTTAGGTTACATTATAAAAATTTTCATAAGAATATAAAGTGACAATATTTACAATTTAATATTCACATAGTACCTATATGAATATTATGTTGTCCACGTTGTTAATCCTCACATAATATTAGAAATTTAAACAACAATTAAATTTAATTAATTTCAAACAACAATTAAAAATACTTGTAAATCCTTACAATGACCAATTTCAATAAGTTTTGAAATAACGACAGTTCTAAGTATTGAAGCATTCCTTATTACTTTTTTTTTTTAATTATTCAATTACCATTTTTATATTAAACTCAACAGTATATGCCCAATTAAAGGCTTCAATCATATAGGTCGGTCAACCTAACACAGCAAGTCACAAGTTAAATGGCACTCATTAAAATTCCAAAGATAAGACTCGCAGAAAAATAAAAGTATCTAAAGATTATTGACCTAATAGTACTGCTAATATGTGTATCACTAAACACAACTGAAAAAATATATGAACAATCTAAAGGACATGATAACACCTCTATTAATTTCATTGTTCATTTATTTTCCATTTCAAATATTTATAATGCTAGCTACAATCACAATGCATGATAAAATATTTACAAGTTTTTTTTTTATATATTTTAGTTTCACATCCTATAGGAATATGAGTAATGCACAGCGAACACGCAAAACAAGTGCTATTAAAACATTCTGTATTGGAGAAACCTGTAGATAGAAGATAAATTTTATACATATCTGAAGTCAATGCGATTTTCTTCACAAATGCATTTTACATTATTTAAAATCAGTTAAGTTTAATAAACAAATTTCATCAACACAGTGAAGTGTACTGAGTTCTCTTTATTGGCAAAGTACTTGTTAATATAACTTATTTACATTACTTTTTATACATGTTCCTGTTATAGGCACAAGTGTGTTAAACTCCTGGTTAGCTGAGTTTCCTTCATCAATTATTGATATATCGAAAAGAGAAAGAGCCCGTGTTAAGGGGATGCCTATACAAAATAACTAATACCAAATTAATTATGAACCTAAGTCACAAATGAACTGTAATAAATGAGAGAAAACTACTATATTACTATACAGGTATGTTGTTCAAGTATATTGAACCTGTAAAGATACAAAACATCTATAAAAGGTTTTTCTTTTTTTCGAAAATACATGCGAAAAAAACGTTTTATATTATGTATAAATGCCAGTGTGCGTAAAGTAGAAATATATAAGAAACAATTATGAGATAATTAATTACATCATATTTCTAAATAATGACACTGGGCTAAGGCATGATTATTAAAAAAAATAATACAATTTAAACACTAAATTTCAACATATTTTTCACATTTTATGTTGATGCTAATCTGACGGAAGATATATGAAGCGTCTAACGACAGTACGCGTAGCGAATGATTATCTGTCTCATGTCAGTACAACTTGTGCCAGGTTGTGTGGTATATCATATATAATTATGTCTTATCATTCTTTCGTCACATATACACTGACCTTCACTCCTTTTTAGTGAAAATTGTGCAATATACGCTAACACAAGTACATTTATAAATTATTTATAAGAGTCTGAGAGTACCACATTACTAGCCGTTTGCTGCGAGGTGGCCGTCCACGATAGTTACTAAAAAACGATATAGGTACATCAACTGGTACTGTTGACAAAAAAATAATACTTGTATTTTGTTCGTAAATAAGAAAAGGGAGTTGATATTCAAAGAGTAACACACTTAACAAAACGAAAAATATAATAAAAAACTAAATCCATGCTGATGATCAGCAGAGACAAACGTACACGATGTTGTTCTAACGGTACTCAGAGGGTCTATAAGGAGATGCGATACGAAGTGGGGAGGGCGGTAGTGGCCAATTCGAAGCGGACTAGTAATCAAAGTAGAGTGCAGATTTGAAAATCATCTCAGTCTTACTCATGGACAAACACATTGAGCAAAAATTATAATTATTTGCCGGTGCAATAAGTACGCACCATAGTGTCATTTGAAGAAAATACTCTCACTTTGCTCAAAATCTATATAATAACCTGTGCTAATAAATAATAGAGGTAGTTGTACGTAAACGTCATTGAATCTAAACCTAGTTTTACAAAATTCGGATGTGACCGTCGACCAACGCTATGGTTACTTTTTTCAGGCCATTTCATATACCCCGAATATTGATTGCCGTCAAATGCAGTTTTTATAACCAGACTGAAACCAAAAAAAATATATATCACTAAGTTTTTTGTCGGTTCCTTACAGTATACGATACAAATAGCGGTCAGATATATACCGGGAGTCACAAAGGTATACCGGGAGCCACAAAATGACCGACAAAGCCGAAAGTTTCAAGTCAGATTACATGCCAACATCATTTTATTTGACAAATATTTCAAAATAAAGGTTTAAAAATGGAATTAAAATTTTCTAATTTCTATGTGTTGAGAGACCTATAACGCGCATGCGCAATATCGATTGTGCGCAGATAACAACGGACCGCGAAATACATTAATTTAATTTAATTATTTTCCGATATCTTGATGATAGTCGATGCTAATAATGTCCATTTCCTCTCTGAAGAATGAGCCAAGCACGATCTTTTGCATGCCGGTGCATGCATGCGCAAAACACATCACATTTCACACAAAACTAAACACAATCTTTACTAAACTACACTTAACGCTCAAGACGAACACTCTAGTATCTTATTAACAAAAATTCAATTTAAAATGCACTAGAACAAAACAAAAATCGACGGAAAGGCGCTTCGCAGCGTTGCGTCGGCGTCGACTGAGCTCCGTTAGGAGTTGTATTATTATTGTATACGACTGAGCAAGGGAATCCCCGACAGAACAATGAAGCGGGGTGGTGGTTGTCGGGCGGGTGGGGCTTTTATCCAGGGTCGAACATAGTTCACCTTTTTTTAATTCGTCTTTTGTTATCACGTATTTATAATTTGATATCACGTCTTTTTAAATGCAATTACTAAAATACTATTTTAATAACAAATTCCTCAATGTTTTTAAAACTAAGTACATTTGTGTTAGTGATGAATCGCTGAAAGATTTGTAAGTTTATCGAGTTTAATTAACGATCCTGTTATTAAAGGAGTATTACCCCTTTGGAGAACTGCTCTTTTAAAATAAAGTAGGTTAATGTTAGACTGATCTCTCTACAATAATTTAGAACATTTTACACTCGCTTTCTGAATTGAGAATTTAAAGTTAAAAGTCTCAAACTAACATCACTTAGTTTTCGTTTCCGATTTTAGTTTTTTATGATAGCATTTATGATAGATAGCAGTTTGATGAAACTAGGACTATTTGACTTGTGAAATTAAAAAACTTAGGTAATTGAGAATAAGCAGGAGAGATTTTCTACTTTTTTCAAATCAGAAACCGGCTGTCAGTCTGTAAATCGATTTAAGCATTTTTACTGTCTTGTTTATTGATTGTCTGGTAGAATTTGCATGAAAGCAGTCTTATAAATCACAAACTAGTTTATTTTGTTTTTAGAAATGAAGAAGTCAATGACCGATTAAAAACTTTTCCTTAGTACGTCCCAAAAACAGCTGACTCAGGGTTGAAAACACTCATTTTTATTCAAAAACTGTAATTTGATATCTCCGAAACTATTTGACCTAGACTTATATTTTTTTTACATTATATTAAAGACAAATAGTACTCTCCAGGAACCTCGGGAGTGTCGGTCGTTCTGTTCCACCGAGTATATATATGTATAAACTAGTACAGAGTTTTGACATGTATTGACTCTTATAAATAGAAAAAATAGATACGATATCAATAAAATATTTGATAATTCAAAATCCTCAATGTTCATCGATATTTATCTTATAGAAAAATAGTTAAAAAATTCACCATCCCAAGTGCCGAAACGGGATACACATAAACCCCCGACCTTCAGCAACCCGGACAAGTATTTTCTATAAGAGATATATAAAATGTCAAAATGATATAGAACAATCAATAAAGAGTGCACTGTCACCTTCGCGACAATTTTCATTCGAACGGGAACTGTGGATAGACGTCTAGAAGTGGTGGGTGGTGTCCGTGGTGGACATGGCGGCGGCGGCCCCGGGCCCGGCGCGCTCGTAGAACAGCAAGTAGGCGGCGCAGCGCAGCACCTCCTGCAGCGACACCTCGTGCACCAGCGTGTCCGACGTGTACCACCACCTGCACACGTGCAGCGGTATTCGGCTTCGTAACACCAGTTCGTTTTAAATGTTAGAATTCATTAAATAAAGTTGTAACGTGCGACAAAATACTTTGTTACTTAATTATTTTACGGGATTCTTCACTATATGCTGTATTGTCTAACAAGACGATGCAATCGTCCTTGAAATTAATGTCGGGCCGTTCACCTATTTAAAATTCTTCCGGTCAGTTGCACAAACGTCCATTAGGGTTCAATGACGCTTTTGAGCTCTAACAAATGTCAAATTTGTGTGGGTAATGTCGCTTTAACCTATATGGGTAATGCTGTTTGACCGAACAACATTATTATTTTTAAATCAACGACAAAAAAAATGACAATTGATCCTGTCACATATAGCCCTATATATTACAGTATGTATGTGATGCGAGTGCGATCACCTCTTGGCCTCGAACCCGTTCCCCCTGCGGTAGGTGGCGAAGTGCCCGGAGCGCGGGCCCCCCACGTGCACCACCACCGCCACCAGCCGGTACAGCGCGCGCTCCGCCCCCGCCCCCGCCCCCGCTTCCGCCCCCGCCCCCGCGTTCAGCGCGGATATGCCGGTGCGCAGCCGACGCTCATTAACCAGTGACACCAGGTCCATCTGATCATAATAATCAATACATGAATCCTATAGCCGACAGAAAGCGATCCCGAAGATATTGGCTATTGGCGCGATGTAAAAACGTCCATCGACAAGCTTACAAAAAGAACAAAATGTCATGAGTTCGAGTCCCATCTCCGAGTATCAGGGACAATGTGGAATTTTTAAGCATTTCTCATTAGGGATATTTGTCAGTATACCATTGTGAATGCAAAATTGATCAAAATAATAATAAGAATAAAATATCACATAGATAGATATATTTCTATACAAAACGCGCGAAAACGATCTGTGACGTAACGATTCAAGCTGTGACGTCACATTTCAATAAACATTAAAAAATTCTCGGACGCAAAACAGTATTTTATTATCAAACACACATTTTTATGAAACGTTACTTTAACGAAATTAATATCAGTTATATAGAAATAGCGAACGGAAGTGTAGTGTAGTGTAGCGAGCACCTTCGGTTGCGGCAGCTGCGCGTAGGGCGCCATGGAGAGGGTCTCCGGGAAGGCCACGTGCTCCCCGCGCTTGGCCAGCGCCCCCCCCGCCCACTCCACGCGCCCCACGTGCAGGCACAGGCACGGCGGCAACTGCACACGGTACCAATATAGAAACACACCGACTAAAGGTCTCACCTAGTAGAACTCGCAAAAAAATCGACTAAATACAAAACGCTGAATATTTTACGTTCAACAATCCCGTACAGGTCCGAATGCAACCAGGGTTGCCACCTTTTGGTAATCAAAATTCGGGACATTCGAACTGTCATCGGAAGTAATCGGACTACAATTCAAAATATGTCATAAATTTTACGATTACTGCCACTTTTCAATATTTGGAGTAACACAATTTGGGTTGAGGTGTCATAAATGAATAGTATATAATGTATCACCTTCCCGAAGCTGACAGTGCGTATGTGCTTGGTGTAGGCGTGCGCGGGGGCGGGGGCGGGGGCGGGGCAGGGGGCGGGGGGCGCGGGCCCCTCCCCCTCCGGGCAGCACTTGCTGCAGCGCACGCCCTTCACCATCTCCGGGGACGTGAAGGCGCGCAGCAAACCTACCGGAGCACGCACAATATGCATCAATACGTAATATTACACAAAGCTCGACGCAGATGGCACACACGTAGTATACCGATTTTTCTAACATTTTGTCTTTGAGAAATGAAAGGAAGGTAAACTTTGCCTTTTTACATCCAAATATGCAGCGATTATGTCATTGCACTAAATTACACTCTTTTTAGCTATAAATTAGAAAAAAATTACAAATTCCTTCTATACTGGCTCAATATTACTTTACTCTTTGCTCTATGAATGTCGTTTGCTTTTTATAACAAAAATAATCGTTTACAACATATGCTAGTTGCAGTAATACCTACGTACGATTGTCACGTTACATTATTAAAAACATTTAATATTACACACAGTAAAACCGATAGGTTTTTTTCTATCTCTATATAATTTTATTTATTTATTTTTATTTATTTAAACTTCTTTGCACAAACAAAAAGTACAAATGGCGGACTTAATGCCAGTAGGCATTCTCTACCAGTCAACCGGAAAGATATGGAATAGACACATTAATAAGGCGGTGCTACAAAAAAAATGAATAATATAATATATATTTTCACGCCGTATCTCTTGCGGGATAGGCAGAGGGGACCGAACGCCACATTGTCCTGTCCTTACTTCTTTCGCCTCATCCACTTTAATTATTCTTTTCATACATACTCGACGGTTTTATAACTTCTGTTAGCACCTCCTAGCAGCACGCGATTGATGTGATCGTAAAAGGTATGTGGCCTTCTTCGGCATCTGCATCCTTCCACTTTCGCGTTGTATATCAGTATTGTCATTCTTTCATCCGGCATTCTACAAGGGAGCATGTTTCTGCTGATTTTTACATCGACGCTATCTTTCAAGTGATCTCTCTTTCTTGTCTCTTCATTCCAAATGCGGTCTGCGAGCGTTACTCCACAAGTTCTACGTAACGAACGCATCTCGACTACGTTCAATCTACTTACATCTTCTTTCTGACATACCCAACTCCCACAAGCGTACGTTAACTTTTATTTTTTTTATTAATAACTTTAAAAAAAATTTACTTATTAAATATGACGGGTTTAAGAACGTATATTGTTTACATTTTTAGACTTTTCAGTTTCACTACAATAATACCAGTTCTTTGTTGTAAGATACGAAAATAATACAAGTAACTAATTGTAACATAACGCACCTGACAGACTGTAGCTGCCGCTGAGTCCGGCGCTGGCGTTGGACATCGACAGGGACACGCTGTCAAACTTGTCGTAGCGGACGGGGCTCTGTCGCATACAATGTTCATTATGTTCAAACTAGACTATAGGCTTATCCGCATTGGGCCTGTTGAGCGGACTATGATGTGTTTCAGGGAAAACTCTTAGGCCCACACTCCACCAAAGCGGAGATGTGCGGAGATGTCCAATGTGGAGACGAGAAGAGGTGTTATTTTGTTCGGGTGAATCCACCGAAGCTGTGCGGAGATGCGTATTGTATTGCGGAGATGTGCGTTAGCTAGCGTTGAGATTGTGCAAGGTATTGAATGCTCAGTACGCGTTCTGAGACGAAAGGTAGACGTTATGTCGCTTTTACAAAAACGTACGCTCACATCTTCTCGTCTCCGCTGCGTCTCGTCAAGGCACAGCTCTCATCTCCGCTTTCATCGCACCATACAAATATAAAACATCTCCGCTTAGCGATCTCCACTGAAGCTTAGCGGAGACGAGATGTATGAATAATGAAATTCTATTGGTTGTTTAAAAGACATCTCCTCTGCACTCGTCTCGTCTCCGCTTTGGTGGAGTGTGGGCCTTAGTTATTCTAGCACAGCGGTACCTAACCCTTTCTGATTAACTTATTACAAAAAGTGATAAGAACACGTTAAAAGGATCCCAAATTGCGAAACACATAAGCTCTAACAGATAAGCTGATGACGAAACATTCAAAACAGATAAATCCCTTATATAGGTAGACTCCTTAAACCGTGTGGCTCGCACGCCGGTTGCAAGGTGCCGCCATATTTGAAGACCTGGGCTCGATTTCCATCCAGATCAATGTAGAAAATTAATGCATTACATATTGTCTTGCGTGTAACGTGTATTGGGAGCTTCGTTGCCTCAGATACTCCATAGCGCGCCCGTACTTTTCTCCCCCCTGTTACTACTGATCTCGGAATATGAGCAGCATATGTGAAGACTAATATTTCTTCATTTTTAATTAATCATGAAACATATTAAATTAACGTTAATAACGTAACTCGAAAAATATAAAATGTAACGCTGGTGGTGACTGAGAATGCACACGTACCGATTTAACAAAGGTGTTAGTGCTCGGATACACTGCAGACAAACACTACTGTAACCTCGTGCGGCGTGTACCGAAACTAAAAGGTAAACGATAACACTCGATCGTGTCCATTGAATATTTTGTGACGCCTTCAAAGCTTCGATCGATTAAAGTGTAAATAAAGAATGCCCCCTAATCCTAAGACAATGTTAGCTCCTATTTTATATGGGGGTTTTTAAAAATTTATTTCAAACAGGAGCGAGCTGACTGGTGAACGTACTTGGTTCGCGAGCGGTACGGACCTCGGGCGACACAGATACCTTGGCGGAGCAGACGGTGCAGTGCAGCCGCTCGGCCAGCGTGCCGCGGAAGGGGGGCGCGGGGGCGGGGGCGGCGCGCGCGGGGGCGGGCAGCCAGCGCCGCCCCACGCCGCTCAGGTGGCAGAACGACCGCGACACGCCCTTCCGCAGCCGCGGCGCACTCGCCTCTGCACACGCGCACTCTTTTTTTATTTAGAGGCTATAAACCATGTCAGTCCTCATCTTTCTTTTCGACTAAAATTTACACCTCTAGAGAGTATACCGCGAACGCTGCTTTGCTGCTTCTGATGCAGGATTAACAAGAATTGTTAGAAACACTGACGTCCCAAGTTTTGAAGCGCATTTGAGTTTTCAAAAATTGTCGCCCTCTCATTTAACTTCTATCTATATACAGCATCACCGTTCGTTCCTATGTATAGAATTCCACTTACACGTGGGCTCTGCGACAGTCATACAGGAATAATTTAAAACCACTGCGAAGATTTTGTGAAAATAAACTTTAAGTAATTTAAATAAACACGTATTTTTTATTTTGATATGTTCTAATACTAAAAAATAAAGTTATCGCTTATCAAAGATCGAGATTTTAAAACTTCATTTATGGACACCGCGCGCCGTGCGTCAGCTGACCGCTCGCTCGACGCCGTAGGCATGTACTCATAGGTACCTATCTACACGGGTCACTGAACGCTCATTTTGTTAGATTCGAACTAGATTTTATGCCATGATCTGAGGTGATTTCTAAGAGTAATTTCAATTTTCCCTTCATACTTTTATGGTTAAGGCCATTAAAATGCAAAAAAAATAAAAGAGAAACAAATTCGTTACCTAGAAAAAAATATTAACGTTATGCCGAAGTTACATAGGTACTTCTGCGTTAAGGCGTATTTAAAAAAATTAGAATCAACTACGTATTTACAATAATGTTGAATAAAAAAAATACCTAACTAATTACTTACCATGTATTTTAATATTTGTTCAAAATGAAGTCCACGTCTGTCCAGACATAAACGTGCACATTTCATTAAATTGTCATTTAATTTGTTTAAAACACTAGTGTCACTTTTCACTTTACTGAAAGCGTTATTATTTTTTATTGTTAAGTCTTCTAGACTTTGTGCCTCCTCTACATCTCGGCGTTTGACTTCTTCCCATAAGAAACAGTCCCTCACTTGTGAACAATGCCTCATCCGTCTACAAGATGTTTGCATCGCGGTGATGTAGAAGCCACTCACATAAGGCTCGACGTGGTACTGGGTCTAGGTCATGGAACTGCCGAACCGGCTGAAAGTGGTACGGATGGAGTCCGGCTGTTTTTAGCAGCTTCAATACCGCAGGCTGGCTCACACCAAAGAGATATGCCGCATCGTGGGTACTGACTCTGGGACTTCGCCTGTTAAAATGGTTCAAAGCATTAGGGACCGCGGGGTTACGGATCCCAAAGGCCCGCATACGAGGTATGCTCTTCGTCGCATACTTTCTCCGAATTGCGCTTATGTAGGTTCTCACTACTCAGAAGATAAACTCGTACATCTCGTAAAACTCACGACGGCGGGCGCGTCGCGTGCGCGGGAACGCGAGGACACGTCACATCGGCGCGTGCGTGTGAGTCTCACTGTCGCGCGCGTCGCTCGGTCCCGGCGGGGCGGTGAGGGCTGTAGCGGGGGGCTACCGGGCGCGACGGGGTTGCACGGGGGCATACGCAAGAGAAGACGTTTTCATTGAAGTTTTATTTTAAAAAATGTGTCCATATTCTACCGTTTCGATAGGGATAAAAATATTTAAAAAAAAATTTTTAACTAATTATGGAAAAGTGTTCTATTACTGATACTGAAACACCAAAAAAAATTTTTGCACTGGAAAAAAAATATTCCTGTATAGTGCCGAGACTACACGCCGTTAGATGTACCTATCCGTAACCTCCTGTCTATTATCTCCCTATCGATCTCTTCCTGTATCCGATTATACGAACGCATCGATCGTAATGTTGTGTATATCAGCATTATAGCACTATTTTCTTGATGTATAAAATCTATGCAATAGCAAAAAGATATGCCCATAGTAATAATAATCATCATCATCATCATCATCATCAGCCGGAAGACGTCCACTGCTGAACATAGGCCTCCCCCTTTGAAAACAGATAATAATAATAATAATAATAGTAATAATAATATTTAAACATAATAACACCAATTCTTACAAATGATTAAAAGGTGAATTCTATCATGAATCTAATAACTACTTAACTCAAATATAGTATACCTGATTCGATAAGCTCGGGCTCATCTCCTGGCGCGGCAGAAGCGGGGCGCGCGGGACGAGCGAGAAGGGGAGGGGGGGAGTCGCGCCCCGCCAGCGGCGCCGCGGGGGGAGACGCGGGGGATGCCAGCGCAGACCATGCGCGCCCACCGCCCAGACCTAGCGCGTCTGACAGACATCCTGGCTGAATAATTAAATCATATTATTAGTTGTGCATTATACGCCTGACTAAACAGTAGCCTCTTCTTCATATACCTCCATCTACTCATTATTATTACAGAGTGTACATGTGTGTTTGTATGTATGTTTGTGCTCATGTGCTAAGATTACAACTGAATTAAGCATATTTCTTTGAAGTACTATATAATAAAATAGAAACTATAACATATATAAAATAAATTGGTTATTTGTTACCTGGTTTCTAATTTAATAACATAAAGCATTACTTGAAGTTTAATATGTAAATATATTATCTAAAAATCATTATTTAAACCTTTTTCAAATCTTCCCTTAATACAAACCTTTGGGAATTAATTGTTCAATAAGATGTACATTATGCTTGTTGTTTTTTTTTTTTAATACATTACTAAAGGATATAAACAAGGCAATAATACAAACGATAAATTAACAAGTACTATAAAACACTACAATCTATTTCGATTCACATTAACGCAATAATTGATAAAGGTTCTGATTAATACAATAGTATTGTGATTATAACATAAAACATAAAGGTTTGTAGCTGAACAGATAGCCTATGCCTGTGTATCATACAGTCAACAGCACATCTATACAAAACTGTCAAATTTTGCTACTTTATTTTAAACCTTAATATAATTATAGTAGAGTCAAAACAGAATGACTGCCCGAATTTTTAAAATTTTCTGTAATACTAATTACAGAAAATTTTAAAAATAAATAATAAAGATTATAACAAATTAATTTGGTATTTGAGCAATATATGATATTATTGTTCCATATTTATTTAAAGTAAATCTATTTCTTTAAAAATAAAAATTAAGGAAAAAACAAAATCAAATTTCCTTACAATAAGAAATTAATTGTACACCATATTAGTATACTGACATACATGACAATGACATGACCATAAGATAGCATTGTACCTTTCTAGCCATAGCAGTGGTCTCTTCCTCGATGCATGACAACAGCACATGCAGTAACTCATGTGCGTCCTGCTGGTCAGCAGGCACTACCCATCCCGCTGCGCGTAATGCCTGTAGCACACCCAGAGGGCAAACAGGAGTGCCTCTTGCTGACTCATGAGTTCCATTTACCACTGTGTATAATACCATACAAAACAGTTGCTTGAGTTTATTTCAATTTCTTTCAAACTTTGATTGTTCTAACAGTCAAATAAAATGTCATTAATTTATCAATGCTATACTTCTTTTTGGTGTTCAAAAAGACAATTCAAATTTTTTTAATTATGTTTTAAATTTATGATCTAATTACTACAAAATACTCATAATTTACTTTTAATAGATTTTTGTTGTGGATTTAATATCAAATATACCTTTACTAGTTGTCATTATTAAAAAGTTAAGTCTTGGATTAAATAACTAATCTAAGAAAACAAACCTTCAATCACCGTATACAATGTTGTAATCATACTATTGTGACCATCAGCCTTTGCATATTTTTTGAGCCAGTCTATAAATGTGGGGCAAGCAGCCAATGCCTGTAGTAACGTATTCAAAAAACAAGTCCTTCCTAAATTTTGTAAGCCTGCGATCTGCCCGCGGCGTTTTCGCACTCGAGGTGCTCCTCCAGGTCCCCATAGTACGAAGGCTCCGACCACAACAGCCGCAGTTAAACCAGCAGCCACCAATATTCGGTCGCCACTTTCCATTTTTTTTAATTTTTATTATATCAGCAATGATAACGTTGTGTTTAAAAAATGTTTTAATATAAACATATCATTATTGTTGATTAATGTCATAGAATATCAACATTTTAATATTTCTAATTTTTATTTAAAAAAAAAATCAGAAAACACAAATCTGGAAAATTGACGTTTATATTTGACATTGACAGCTGATTTTTTATAATTTCACAATTAAAAGGCAAAGAGCATTGGCCAGCTTCTACTGACGAGAAAGTCAAACCCAAGATTTGGCTGTATGGCTGCTTTCCTTCGCATGTCTCATGGACGAATTATAATACTACTTACTACTACTACTACGAGAAAGCCAATCTTTTAAGATCCATATTGTTTTTTTATTAAGAACGTCAAAATGATGCTGTATGTGAATTTCTTGTTCATTATCTGCAATAGAAATCCGTGACTTATCTATTTCAAAAAAAGGCCTGAAAATATGGACATCACTGTTTTGCTGAAAACAGAAGATAGAGTTCATCTCACGAAGAAGTCCCTTAGATCACAATGTTTTCGCTTTACAAAGGAATAAAAGTTATGCTGCGGGACATATTTCGGGAGACAAAATTTGTATAAATTATTGACAACAGCAGAACAGAACAGAACAATATTTAGTAGAATTTATATAGCTAAATAGGTGACAGGAGGGGAGGGGGGGGGGTAAAATCAAGGATTTTGTGTGACGTAATTAATGAATGGCCCCTATACTTAAAAATTTTCTTAATGAAAAAGTGCTTAAAAAATCCACTTTATCCCTGGCACTCTGAGAGGGACTCGAACCCATGACCTTTTGGAATTTCAGGCGACTACTCTAACCACTGAGCTAACTGTACGAATTTTTTATGCACTTTTTATGTTTCGCTACTGGAGAGCGTATTTTCATGAATGTTCAGGCAATCTACACAACCGAAAGAAATGTTTAAACTTTCGATAAAGATGAACATTGCAAAAGGTCATGAATTCGAGTCTCATCTGGAGTACCAGGGACAAAGTTGATTTTTAAAGTATTTTTCTTTAAGACTAATTATAATAAATTAATATTCACTTCAGCTTCAAAAAGAATATCTAATTATATATTATTAAATCGGAATGAAAATTGTATATATATAACTCGTTTCATAGAAATTTTTATTGCTACTTTACTGTGGTAGTGAAAAAATATGGTGTAAATGAATCCTATTGAACATTAGTTAACGAAGAGAAACTAGTGCCGTGGTGTAGGAAAAAAAACTAAACCAGCAAGGCTTTACTACATGCTACCATAGAATTAATAAGTACTACGTACAACTGGAATGCTAACTGCGATCTTTTTTACATATCAAAATGAACCTTAACGATATTTGAATAAAGTGTTTTTTAAATAACCATTATCTACATAGAGAAATGAGCTCAAGTGAGACATCTTTTTTCTTGGTGTGTCTCTGTCGCACAATTGCCATGTGAAATATTATTGATATAAAGGTGGTAAATTCGTGAAAACTGTTTACACAGAACAAAACGTTTTCTATATGAATATTTATATTTGGCTTGTTTATAAGTTTACTAATAATATAAATGCAATAGCTTTTGGGTCCAGATAAATCAAAGTTTTTATATTTCACGACATTTCAATATTGTAGGCATGTTTTATTACCTTTACGTTATGCAACACTAGGTAAATTGAAGTATTCACGTGGCACCACAAAAGCAACATGGCGTTTTCTTTTTTGTCATATGGACTTGTTTTTAATGCTCTCTGAATTAAAAAAGTGCTTTAAATAGTATATTAGATTGAAAAATGGTAAACAATATATGTGCTGTGAGTGGGTATGGGAAAGAATCGTACCTGGCTGTGGATTATCTTTTCACAGGTAAGTATGTCATCAGTAGAAACTAGGGTGACTATACTTTACGTATAGAGATGTAAAGTACGTACGTACTATAAGCATAGACCCTATTATTGCCTAATTAAGTACTAAATTTAAACTTGTTGTATCACTTAACACTTTGGTTATTCACTATTTGCAAGTCTACCTACATTAAGCAAGCATGTGGAGGCTCATAAATGGGTATCCTTTAATAATTTTATTGGTCAGTAGGCTTATCGTTTGATCGATCTTTTGCAAATATCTATTTACACACTAAACCAAACCAAATTATTACTATAATAAAAAATATACATTTTAATTTAAATTTCCAGTTTGCCATCGGATTTAGAGTTAAAGAAAAAATGGTTGATATCTGGGAACTTACATGAAAGCTGTGTGGTTTGTACACTTCATTTCAAAACCAAAGATTACCAAACAGAGGCTCGAAAAAGGCTGAAATCAGAAGTGATTCCTTCAATCTTGCCAAAGGTACCTACCTAATATTAAAGCACTCATTTATAAACAACATTATATCGAAAATAATAAGTTAAAACAACAATTCATATTATAACTTATTTTTATGTACCTACCTAATTTCATTACAGATTTTTCCTGATAACAAAAAAGAATAATGTGTAAAACGCCTTTAGTTATACGCCTGACTAAAGTCCTTCATGTAAGAAGTTAAAACTTGATATTAATACTAGGCAAAAATCAAAAGAAGAGACATGAAGATGAAGATTAATAATTTAAAGTCACTTTTAGCAGTTTTAAAAGAAAATTGTAAAAATTATGAAAAGGTACAATCTGTCATAACAAACTGTTTCCCAAATATTCATCAGCAATTGAACAAAAATAAATCCAACAAAGGCATGAGATTCTCATAATAAGAATATCAACTTATGGCAAAGGTCTCACATTCAAGGCCATTGGCACATCTCGCGCTACTTTACGCCATAAATTGCACAAAACAATTTTGTTAAGTAATGTTTAATTTTAAAATGTAAACAATACAGTCATAATAAAATATACTATTTTGATTGCGTTTTATTATTAGGTCTTCCCCCAGTGGGGGGAAGGGGGGAGGGCTGCCTATGAAATTGCTGATTTCCATAGTTTCAAAATTTATTATTGTTGAGTTGAGATTAAATAAAAATTTTTTCTGCTTCATATTAATATTATTCAATTTCAATAATCAATATTTTCTTTTAATGTCCAATGTATTCAGGTAAGAATGGTTACACTACTTAGAAAGGGACAAACCAAGATTTATGACCTCTCACTCGGCGCATGTTTAGACGCACAGTAAGCATTCTAGTTGTACGTAGTACTTATTAATTCTATGCATGCTACATACTGACTGTCATATAATGTATCATTGCATAAAGCACTTTGTAGGGACGTCTCTCAATAACCGAGTGTACGAAATATGTCGAATACATAAACAAGAAGTGTAATTTTGCCAATGACACAAAATTAGACACCAAAGCCACAAAAAGGACCGACAAGCGGTGTTTCTGCCATTTCGAAAAGGCGTAGCTGACAAAATCTCTAATATAAAATATAGTAATTCCTCAATATTTACTTTATTCACACCTTTACGAAAAGTACCTAAGTTCTCTTAAAGAAAACATCCCCTTGGAGAATCTTAATGCATTATAATATTGACTGCAGTTGTAGTAGATCTCATCTTGGCCAAATAAAAGAAGCCAGTAATAAAAGAAGTAGTACTAAATGAAAAGCTGTCAGGGACAACGACGTAATTGTGAAAAATAGCCATCGCTAAACTTTTGCTTAGATTGGGATTTAACCGTAGGTCCATAAGTCACAGATTATCTCAACACCTGTCTGAAGTCCTGTGGTTCATAAATGAAAAACAAAATTTCGCCATTTCGCGGCGACAGTGTGCGAGTGAGTGGTGATTTATTGAACAACGTACTGTATCGAATGTAAGAAAAGATGAAATAGGGAAGAGTGATATGTCTGTCAATAACATTCAACCGCAAGACTAGTTAGTTACTCAGTGATAATAGTGCTAGAAATAGCGCTTAATATCAACAACATTTAAAGCAGCATATAATTATTTATTTCTGTTAATACTTCAAACGCTATTATCCGTATACGTCCTCTACGAGATTTTAACAGAGACTCATTTTATAAAAATAAGAAATGTTTGAATACCATTTAAATAGTTTTTATCGATTTTCACCTCCCTAAAATTAATCTCACAATTTGTCCGAATTATTCTAAAATTCTAAACAAACCTTGGTCATGGTCTGTGAAACAAACAAACGAGACGGTCGACCAAAAATTACTTACAAAAAATCAAATGTGAATTGAAACAAATCTTGGATGACTTGGATAGATAGTCAAAGAACGTTGATTCAATTTATATACCAGTATTATGTATTTCTATGCTATCTCCCTCTTGTTATAACGTATAAATGAATTGTGCCATAGACGTTATTTGAGTGTATAATGTTTGTTACAACTAAATAATTTTTTCAAAAATGTGGTTACATTCTATGTATTTTTTATAGTTGATATACTTTGATACGGTACAATTTTGAAAACTGATTGTTTTTTTACCAAAATGATTCCTGCAAACACTATTTGTGTATCCCAAGAGGGACCTGCTAACGCTTTGGCGCTAAATAAAGACTGCACACAAGTCGTAATAGCTGGAAGAAATGGTGAATATTTTGAATAAACTAACACTATTAATTTAGCTATATTTTTTTCTATTACTGATATTCTTTTTCAGTTTTCAAGGTCTTTTCCTTGGGTGAAAATGAATTCTCTGAGGTGTGTAATCTAAGGGTTGGAAAGAACTTGAATCTTAATTTTTCTTCGATTGATGTCGCATGGAGTACTATTGAAGGTAAGGGTCAAACTCTTGATTTACAGATTGGATTTTTTTATAAATCTTTGAAAGCTATGTGGAATCGGGGCTTCTAGAATGCCTGAAAAATGTGCTAAATTTGTAAAGTTAATATTTGGATGGTTTCTTTTTATCAGAAAACACATTAGCCACTGCTGCAACAAATGGTGCAGTAGTAGTGTGGAACCTTGGACGTTCTGGTCGCTCTAAACAGGAGCATGTCTTCTCAGACCATAAAAGGACAGTGAACAAGGTAATACTTGTAGCTTCATGTTAACAAATTGCCCTAATTTAAATAAAATTTTCTTTACACTTTCACTTAGAGTAATTTTTTTAATTAAGTTCCATTTATAAAATATTTCGTCTCTGACATATATTGATTGAGTTTTGCCAAAAATAAGGGTTCTGGTTTCAGTGGTAAACCTGCCAAAACTATGACCAAAACTGAAACTGCATTTGTAAATTCTTTTGCTCTGATTGGTTGGCTTTGTTAGACACTTAAAATAATAATTTGATATATATATTATAAATGTGAAAGTGTGATGTGCGGAGCAACGGAGTACATCACACTTTCACATTTTGCAGAGCAACGGATTAATGTGATTTTTTTGGTGGAGATAGTTGAATGGCTAAAGAGTGACATAGGTTAATTTTGTCTCTTTCTATTCCCCTACTCTCCTTAAATGGGGAAAGGGAAGAGTGTATGGAGAATTCCACAATTTTGATTTCTAATTTGAGAACAACAACATCTGAGAAAGAAAAATGAACATCATAAGATCAGAATTGTTACCTGTGGCCTCTGAGAGACGGGGCTACTAGGATTTTAAAAATATTTGTCTTAGAAATGATACAGCCTCTGAGAGATGGAGCTACTAGGATTTTAAAAGTATTTGTCTTAGAAATGCTACCAAAAGTAACTATACCACATGGATGAAGTCTCAGACAAAAGCTTATTAGTACATAGAATATGGTACGAGTACAAGCAAGTTTAACTAATCTGGAAATGGCATTGTGCGGCGGCCATGTTTGATTTTCCTTAACGTCATAAATCTAAGAACACTAGGACTGCTAAAAACAAAACTAATAATTATTTAATATATTTGAATTACTTATCTAAATCTGCCTAACAGCTCTGGAGATATGAGATAATAAATAATATTACATACATAAAATAACAAATAAAGACTGACTGATAAAAACAATGTTTTCATTATTTTTCCCTCAAAATATGGTCCTTGTAAGGAAGTTTCAACCGAAACCGAGAATGTTGCCGAAATTCGTTTCAGTTGTAAACCAGTTATGGTTGCACAATAGTAATATTTATTATTTGCTATTTTTAATTTTAAATTGATTAGATTTTAATGTTTTAAATTTTCAGAATTACTGGTTGATTAGAGTAATAATTATAATATTCATTTATTATCTCAACACAAAATTATGTATTTACATGTGAGAGTGGTCAATGCCTGGAATAAGTTATAATTTATTCAATAGTACGATCTGTGACGGCTATATCTTCAATTGAATCATTAAAATGTAATTTTGTATCTGTCACTGATAGTGTTCCAGTTGACTCTATTTCTTAAACTTGCAATTTCCCTGACATGAACACCTTCCTCTTTCTTTAATCATCAGAATTAATGGCGCACTTACTTTTGACGTAATCTGTCGGTATAAACATAATACTTTAAGTTGTAATAGCTATTTTATAAATAAATAGTCCATTAATATCTGAGAAATAATGTATAAGTAACTGCATGTCTACAGTTCATAGTTTCGGAGATACGGTGCTATATTTGTGGAACTGCTGCTAGTCGGCCGAAAACGCGTTTTTTGTAATATCTTTGTTATTTGTGCGTTTATACTTATAGCTGGTATAATGAAAGCTATAATGTTTTATATACATAACTAATTTAATGCTATAAGTATTTTAGCTAATGTTTTTAGCATATTTTCCCTGCTTTTTTCAAGTGTTCAAAGTGTAATATTTTTTAATTCAGTGCCATAAAAAATATTTTGTTAATTATTTGTAACTTAAAATGGTTAATATTTTCCAAACTTATAACTGAATCCTGTATTTTCACTTGTAGGACACAAGCCTAATACTAATATTTTTTATTTATAATGATAATAATATTTTCATATTGCAATCGTGACTTTTGACAGGCGTTTATTATTTAGCTTAGGATATTAGTTGTGATCATTGTCTAATGCAGATAATAAGTAGAGTATAATCTCCATAGAACTTCCATTTGTTTGATTAGCTTTTTTATATCCTTACATATCCAGGGTTTGTCTGACAGTTTGCTTCTTATTTTAAACTATGGAGGTTTATATAGCTTCAGGTGATTTCTTGTGAAGTTTATTGAATTGCTTCTTTGCACAACTGCGCTCTGTACGGGGAATACACCTTATTGATGAGATAGTTATAATAAAAGTCACTTGTAGGCAATAATAATAAAAAGTATATATTTTATTTAGTCACTGTAGTAACAAAGTTCTTAAACTTATTTTAACACTGAGTCTCTTTATATTAATAAAATTATAGAAAAGGAAAGTAAAACTATGGTGAAATAATGGTAGTAGTAAGTATGGTAAAATGGTATGAGTGAGTACGCGCGATTGGTATGGCGATCGGAAAAACACTAACTTTTACTTCAATATTAGAGACATTGCGAAACATAATTATGAATTAAGTAGCAGGCGAATATTGCTGACGCGCGTTACCTACTTATTACAGTTCAATGTGCGGTCGGGACCGTACACGCTCAAAAGATCAGACACTTCAGATATGCAGTAGTTTATTTTCAAATTCTCAACTCTATCAAAACGTCGTCTGAGAACTAGGCTTCATTTCACTGTGTAATACAAACTGCAAGTGCGCTAGTATACAAGAGTGATCATTTCTCACAATTGGTGCTTGGTGTTCAATTTTCGGTAAAAATGAGTCATGATTAAGTCGAGACTTGATATAGACCGCACGACAGACTGTGCTAAGGCAGGAATTTCTAGCTGTACTGAGAGGGTTTGCGTGGATGTGTAGTTCGGTGAAGCGGGAGGAATACAAAAATCCAACATTAGTGTATACTGGTCAAATTTATAAACCTACATATAAGAGGTTAAAAATAAAAGTTTTTTATTTCACAACTTTGCAGTTTCTTTTTTCTTTTTACATTACAATAGGTGAGTTTCCACCTGACTGACCCAGCACTACTTATTTCGGGCTCTCAAGATGGCATGATGAAGTGTTTTGACCTTCGCATGAAGGACGTAGCCCGAACATTCATCAGGTTAGCAAATTTCACTATTTATTCAATCATTATCTTTTCTCTTCTTCTTCTCTTCTTCTGTGCTTGGAAGTTGAATAGGAATTAAAATAATAAATGAAGTTAACTGCTTTAAGATTTCTTCCACAATATTCTTAATTTTTGCAAAATTGGTAAAATCCCACATTCACAATCATATAATATTATCATTCATCCACATTTTATGAAACGATAACTTATTTTAATACTTAGATAAAGGTATATAATAACAACCGAATAGCTACCCTAGTTAACAAATGGCAATCCTCATCACTCAATTAAATATAAATATTAGTGTTTAATGTATATCACATTGTCCTGACAGCAACACAGAATCGATCCGTGACGTGCAATTCAGTCCGCACCAGGCACACACTTTTGCAGCTGTATCAGAGAACGGCAGTGCCCAGCTGTGGGACGTGCGACGTCACGAGAGATGCCTGCAACAGTTCACTGCTCATTCGGGGCCAGTGTTTGCTTGCGACTGGCATCCGGAAATGCCCTGGTTGGCTACCGCTTCCAGAGATAAAACTATAAAGGTATGTTTAATACTTGAGAACACTAGTTACCGAAAAACAAATGCACACAGCACACACTCATATCTTCTCATATAGAAGTTAACAGAAGCCTAGTCAAGGACACTATTTCCTAACACTGATCTGAACCGAGAATAGAATTATTAATTAAATTATACTTAACACATATGTAGATTGGTACATTTATTAGAGCCTGTACGCGTTTTTCTGTGTGTGTAATACTTTTATTTTTATAGAACTGATTCATTGATTCGTATTGCCTGAAAATTCGCGCGGGAAAAATAAGTAAAACGCAAAGCGATTGTACAGAATGAATTAAGTATGCCACCAAATGCATCATTCATATAGCTTCATTTTTGTTTTGAAGTTAAAACATTTCGCATTAAGATTTAAATTAAAAATTGCTTTTTCGATATAGAAATAGAGTTCAAACACAAAACTGAAACAGGACGTTGCTTTCTAGAAATCAATGCGCTCACACGACGAATCGCATGCACGTTTCTATATTATGCGACACTAAATGTCATGGTGAAAAGTTATGATCGACCTTTGTCTCGAATTATATTCCAATCCAATTCTAAAAAGCTTAGTGTAAAACAAATAGTATGCCCAGAAATTCTAATACAGCTTAAATATTATGAATATGACTACTATACTTAATCAGAGAAGATAATTTGTTATCTCAGTATGGAATCAGACGCAGATATATTATGCGTGTTGTCGGCAACTGTAGGTGGGTCAGACGGTTGATAACATCGTCTAGAGTCTGGCAAGCGAAACGTGTCACAAGAAAAGGGCGGCAATTTCAAAAATTCTTAAGCAGTAAACACTGAATGTAGTACTGCAAAATAATTTTGATACTTTTATTAATTATATTTAATCTTAACATTTAGATATCAATTAAAATTATTTGTTTTGGAACATTTGACTAAAGCGTGACTGTTCTTAATTGTACAGTTAACAGCATATCAGTAGGCCTATTCACTAACTCAACTGACAACCAAGAATCGTCATCACCGTAAAAAATAGACACTTTGATTGTGTCAAAATCACTATTTCGTATTCTCTATCAATGATGAGCAATTTCGAAATGTCAATATCGGCATTCTCCACTGGACTCCATTTTGACACTTGATTTCGTATCGATAAACTGTATTAAAGTAACATTGTTGCAAAGCATATTTGAAGTCGTCGCATAGTACCTCTTAAGCCATTTGTTGTTAAATTAAAGCGAAAAAAAATACGTATCCAATATTTTTCTATTATCTGACTGACGGACTAAATCGAATCTTTTTTTAACCCATTCGTTATACCTATTGGCTAACAGCACTTATAATATTAAAAATTCATATTTGTCATTAATTAAAAGGGTGTTTTTTGCAACGACTTCTTTGTTTTTTTGTAATGAATATGGGCGACTCTGGCCACATTTTTTTAATAAATGTGATGTTAGCCAATTTTGATTTCTGGCCCTTATATTTATAATGTGTTCATAACACATACATGTCTCCTAAGGGATTTTCATCACAACCTTTTGCTCTGATCCAGAACCACTATCTATCAAATTAAATTAGTCAATATAAACACCAGATTACAATAAAAAAAACATTTATTTTTGTTACAATTAAGTGCCATGGATAAATTACATAATACAGGTGTCACAAAATCATCATGTTAATCACAATAGAAAATTTAAGATAAGATTTTGACTATGAATCAGACTAAAAATACTTTAGTCTGATTCATAGTCAAAATCTGTTTCTAAATATTCTACACCTGATAACAATGACAAGGAATCATCAGAGTCACTCTCTTCACTACTGTCTGCACCAACAGATATAATAAATTTTTCAAGTTCGTTTTCAACAATGCCATCTTTTAATTTGTAATCATTTTCGACATTTAAAACATGATCAGTGTATTTCTTCCAGTCACTAGGGGTAATTAAGTTAAAACACTCTATTATTAAGTTTTCCATTTCCTTTCCTGGTATTCCAATGTTTCTGCTTGCAATTTTTCTTTTTGACTTTTTAACTTTATAATTCTGATGTACATAAGTTTCATCAAGGTACACAATTTGCTTTCCTTCGTTTCGTTTTATATTTATTTCTCTCAAATACTTGTGCCTCCATGCAGAAATCTGGTATTTTTCTATAAGCATAGAACGTTCATTTTCATTGCTTTTAAAAGAAAATCCATTCTTAAGCATAATTTTTCGTAAAGTCTCACGGCTACCACTGAATCCTATTGCATCTTTTAATTCATTGTGAAGGCTTCTTAATGTTGGAACAATTTTTTTCACACAGTAAAATTCATTTACTTTATTCCGAATTGCACTTAAATCAAAATTATCTAAAGCAGACACTGTTGGTTGATGAGGTCGTTTTTTCCCAGGAGTGTCCCATTTTCCTTTATTAATTAATGCTTCATTTTTTATCCTTCTTAGTGTCCTTATACTTACATCTATAAAAGATTAAACACTTTGAAACAAAGATATGTTAAATGTATTTAAAAGCAAATAATGATAGACACATACATCAAAATAATTTAAATACCTATTCAACTATGAATGCAATTTATGTTTAATTTAGTTAAGTTTATGTGCATATTTAGCATGTATAACAATTACATGGTTTGATTAGTTTCATGAATTCTGTGAATTTCCTTGTTAAACAAAACATTCTTATGACATCATTGGATGTCAACAATAAAAACCAATACATCATAAAAAACCTATGTAAATATTATAGGAATACTATCAATCTATCTTAAATCAAAACAAGAAAAGAGACCTGTCATTGAAGAAATTTTTTGTAAGTACTGCGTTTCCGAATTCAGCATTTCTTGTTTTTCTAAAGTTTTTATTGCATTTATCTCCTCCATTATTGGTTGAATATCACCATCACAGTTATCTGAAATAGAGCAATATTTTATAAAAAATATCTGTTTAGTTAATTACAGAAAATTAAAACGAAAGTATCAAAATTATAATACAAAACTAACCTAAAAAAGATACAACTTTATCTAATCGTTGTAATTTCTCCATGAAATTTTTATTTAATTCAGTTTTCACTTCAGTAAACTTGTCAATCATGATGGAAAGAAGTTTCCTCGATGAACTTTTTATCGGCTTCGACATAATTTTTAACCAAAAACACAAGTTCAAATTCGCAAAAACAACAAAATTCAATATTCTTGAATTGTCTAACGTAGTGTCAAACTGACAGTTCTATGTTGTTGCCATATGAAAACGGAAAAATAGGTGGTGTCACGTTTCGCTTGCCAAACTCTATCCACTATGTAAGAGGAATGACCTCGTGAATAACTACAAATTAAACCAATTACCTATCTATATAAGGATAAAGAATTTAAATATGTATTAGCATTTTTTTTTTATGTCATGGAACGGCTTCACTTTCGTTTAAGATTTAAAGTATTGATTTCGTTTGCTTTATTATGCGTGCATGTAACAGCACAGACTGAATGAACGATATTGTATCACCGCATCTGTCGGGTCGGTACGTTAATGATGTGGGTACATTGTTGAAGGTATGGGATATCCACGCGAAGCCCAACCTGGAGCACACCATCTACACCATCGCCTCCGTCGGTCACGTCAAGTGGCGCCCGCAAAAGACGTACGTCGCATTACATCAATATATTATAATTATATTCTCTGTTTATTAACAACATCTACATCGACCATTATTGCCCGCAGGCGGGGCGATCTAGTAAACCTTAATATATATTTTGTATAACACACCTCAATCGATGATATTACGTTTTTTATGTTTATAACGTTATCGTTCGAAATAGAACTATAGATTTCGTCACTGATGCTTAAGTACAAAATTGTTTTTTTTTTTTTAGATTCTGACATATAACGTGTTTTTTTTTATGTCTATATTGTCTAATTTGATAATTTTTTTGTTTTATCAAGCGAGTAATCGACAGGAATTTCTAGAGCATACCTCCCTCGAGGGGTATTTATTGGAGGAGCAACATTTTTGTATACTTACCCATCATACGATAGAGTCGGGATATCGGTTCGATGATTACTGTGAATGGCCTGTTTTGCTGCGGCAGGCACCAGGTGGCGTCGTGCGCGCTGGTGCTGGACAACTCCGTGCACGTGTGGGACGTGCGCCGCCCCCACGTGCCGCTCGCCACCTTCGCCGAGCACCGGGACGTCACCACCGCCGTGGCCTGGCTCGGGGGGCCGCACTCGTTCCTCTCCACCAGTCGGGTGAGCGCCCCGCCACTAGCTCCCGTTTGCTTCATTCACATTAACTGACTGATCGACGATCGTGTGGGGCGTCGTATCGACAGGACTGCAGCCTGTACCGGCACCGGTTCGTGGAGGCGGCGCACCCGGTGCTGTGGGCCAACCCTCAGGCGCTGTGCTTCTCCCCGCGCGGGGACATCGCGCACGCCGCCCCCGAGCGCCCCCTGCCGCCCCTCAACCCCGCCCCGCGCCCCGACCGCCCGCCCCCCGCCCTCGGGTCAGTACTCTAGTCGATTCGCACCTCCGTATTCTACACGTTACGGTTCCCGCCGTGCATCTAGTAAATAAATGATATACCCGTGTTTCCCTACCGATACCTACCCGGCAGGCGCAAGCAGCCGACGGCGGGCTCCCTGAGCGCGTCTTCCCAGGCGGCCCTGGAGCGCGCGTTCCCCGGCGGCTCCGCGTCCACCTTCAGCCACTACAAGGTCAAACCCGAACTCGCGGAGCCGCCGACCCCGCCGTCGCCCCCGCCCCCGGGCCCGCCGCCGCCCCCATCCCCGCCCGGCCGCGACGAGGATAAGAGGAAGGAGTGGCCGCTGGACCTGCGCGCCGCGGCGCTGGTGGGCTGCGCGCGGGGGTACCGCATCCGCGGGGCGCCGCCGCACGAGCTCGCCGACCACAACGCCGCCGTCGCCGCCTCCTACGGCCGCCACATGGTGGGTCAACGCCCCCGTCCTCGCCCCCGCACCCTCCGCCGGCCCTACAGTGCGCGTGTGTGTGCAGGTGGCGCACGTGTGGTCGGTGCTCCGCGTGTGGAGCGCGTCCCGGCAGCGGCCCCCCACGCCGCGCCGCCCGCCCCCGCCCCAGGCCGCGCCCCCGCCCCCGCCCTCCTACAGGTACCGGCCCGCTCACGTTTACTTCAATAAATATGACCTTCGTCCCGATACATCCTCCGGTAGTTAGTTAATATTTACTGAACCGCTATCCAAGAATCTCCGGTTCCTTCTTTGATTCATTACGGGCTAAGCGGAGATAGCCGTTCCGAGATGCATACTTTCGTTTCGCTATCTATATTTTCATTCGTCTTTTCGCGCCGGTTCATCGTCGATTTTTGAAGCCAAGGAGCTCCACTAATACACGACCGAAATACCGTTAACCTGCAAGCCCCCCATCTTCGAAGTGACCGGGAGTGTATCGGTGTGTCTCTTGCTATACCGCAGCGACAGCAGCGTGGAGGAGGATCCCCTGGAGGAGGAGGAGGAGTGGGCGGAGTCGCAGTTCCAGTACAGCGGCGTGCTGGGCGTGCCCACGCGCACCATATACATACCGCCCGCCAAGTTCCGCGCCATCAGCGACGACGGTAAGCGTTGCATATACACATATACAGGGTTACTCGTGCAACATCATACGACGACGTTTAACTTTCCTGTGATGCTTATAAAGTAATTCTTCAAGTATTCATTGTCTTATCATAATATTTTTAGGTTTATTCATACACGTAAAGGCGACGCCCGCCCCTCGTAAGCTAGCTTAATCTTGATCACGTGCGGAATTTTTTTTTTTTGTATGTGTTCGGTGTAATGTTACCGAACAGAATGACGTTTGCTTTGGTCAATTAGTTTTTAAATTAGCATGTATAATGTCGCCGTCGCGTGTACTTATACTTAAAATTTCAACATTAAACATTAACATTTGTATAAGGATAAATAAAAACTTTATACGGTGTAACATAAACTTTTACTTGAATATTCCAATTTATAACATCAATCCACAAAAAAGGATTTAAACACGAGGTGGGAAATCTATAGACCGGTTCCTAAACCGTGTATAATTGCGAAGATCTTAAAACATTTAATCTACGATCAGTTATGTCCTTGTGATTGTAAAAATAAAACAGGCTTGCGGATGAAACAATACCTTTATTCTTTATAAAGTCCAGTTCCTTTCGGTGGTCCGCCATGACACCTTTTCGCGTCCTTCCCCTCCACCGCCATAATTATAATGGCGGTAACAGATATAAATTAAATCGATACTTTTATTCGAGTAATCGAATGCAATGAAATATTTATAATTTTGAGCAACATTACATGATGGACATTCAATTAGTCCTCAGCAACATCTTAGGAGGTTCAACATCTTCAATAACTGGTTTCAAGCTCAAGTAGATATTAATATTACATTTTCAGTTGGGTTGACGACTCTAGCAGAATTTCGCAGAGTTCGTTGCTCGGACCTTTGCTGTTTTTTAGTTTACGTGAAGGATATTGAAAAATGCTTCAGTTTTTCTAGTCTTGTATCATTTGCTGATGACATGAAGATCTTCGCTAGGATATGATCTATCATAGACGTCCATTCCCTTCAGTACGACCTCTAAATTTGAAGCATACAGCAACATTAATTGTTAAGACCTACTTAGTGGTCTCTCTACGTAAGTTACATTCGGAAATGAAATCCTGTAGCTTTCAACAACGTTATAAGGGGCGTACAGCTCAGCAGAGAGGCTAGTGATATTCGATGTCCATATTAACAACATTATTGCTAAAGCATACAGGGCATTGGGCTTTATCAAGTATGTATCTCGTTATTTCAAGCAAGCTAAGACTTTAAAGATCATTTATTGCACATATATTTGTAATCATCTTGAATATGTATCACAAGTTTGAAATCCTAGAGACTCGACTTATGTACATCTCCAGATTGGAAAATATTCAGTGTAATATTCAGTGTTATGTTTCCGATTGTCCGAGCCATTTTCTTCCTCTGATTACCTGGTTCACTGCAAGAAGCATCATCTCGTCCTGCCAGAGCAAACACGTTCAATTGCTGATCTTTGTTTCCTGCTTAAATCACATTAATTGTCGAAGATCGAATGCGCTTATTTTTCTTCCACAACTTAATTCTAATTACAGCTTAAATTCCTTTATACGACGTGCATGTAAAGATTTTAATAAAGTGTATATCGAATTCGATTTCTATCTATTTAATATTAGTTTTTAGAAAGCGAGGCGTGCATCGGTGGATATTAAATACACATGTATCAAATGAGCCGATTTTTTGTTTACCAGTTTGTAAACCGTCTGTGAAGACCTGTAAATGGCTGCTCATAGTTTATTTAATTGCTATGTACCTGTTCTAGCTGTTGGTCTTCCCAAAATAGATAAAATCATATATTTAGTCTTTGAAGTCGGTGCATATTTGACAGAAGATACACCACGTCTCCTCGCTCGCGGAATGTCAGAACTGTCAATGATATGTCATGTGACACTCGAACTTGCACATTAGACGGACCTGCCGTCGCATTCTAGTGCATACTTTCCTGAGACTCTTGACGCAACATCCGTCAGATTTACACCGACCCATCATATCTAATATTTTGAACTGTATCCTGCAACTGTTCGATCTGTTTTTTCCAATGCCTACAACAATTTGATTGCATCGTGGAACACTAAATGTTATAAATATGTAATAAAAGGGTATCCGTTTCTACTTAAATGCAGGCTGGGTATCAGCAGCGACTGCGCATTACGTCGATGAGGATGCGATGGACTGGACGCTGCCCGAGGAAGCCTTCCCGCTGCGCAGTGCCCCCCCTCCCCCCGGGCCCGACCCCTCCGCCGCCCCCGCGCCCGGGCCCTCTACGGCTTTCCCCACTAACGCTCCAGCTGTGCCCGGTCCCTCCACAGCGATGCCAGGTCCCTCCACGGCTATCCCAGGTCCCTCCACGGCTATCCCTGGCCCTTCGACGGCTATCCCCGGCCCGTCCACTGCTATCCCTGGCCCGTCTACCTCTATCCCCGGCTCTTCCACGGCTAACCCCTGCTCGTCCACCTCTGTCACCAGCCTCTCGTCTGCCTTCGCTGGACTCTCCACGGCCATACCGGGCTCTTCCGCGTCTATCTCGAGCTCATCCACCGCCGTCCCCGGTGCTTCCACAGCTATCCCCGGCCCGTCCGGTGCGACCCCCGGTCCCTCCGCCGCGGCCCCGCTTCGCACGCTTGACACTGGTGAGTATATACAAAAATTCCTTAAAAGATCAGTCTTTCGAGAGGTTTTGTATATTTTAAAATAGAATCAAATGAAAAAAAAGTAGCACTGAAATGTTTGTTATGATGTAATTAGGAGTGTGCAGATCACATTAATAATGTTATTACTGTAATAAATTCAATATTATGGTAAAAATATATTTAAAAAAAAAACGATCGCAAGAAGTGAAAGAATTTGGTACCTGGCATTACATATCTCTTTCGCTCATGCTCAAACTATCGCTATTGCGCAGTAAGGTAACTTTGCCATTTGTGGTAAATTCATCAGATATTCAATTTTTTATTTTACTAATTGCGTAATAATAAATGTTAGGAGTAAAGAGTCTTCTCTGACCGGAGGCCCCTTCCAGCTGGGGGCCCGTGGCATTTTGTCGACTTGCCATTGCTATTGCTCGCACAGATGCAGCTAACCAGTAAATTATTTACTGGAAAGTGAACCTAAAGTGTATAGGGCATCTTTCAGTAGGCACAAAGGTCAGTGTACGAAATTCTCTTTGTTCGGCGACCGTGCCGTAGTTGTTTTAACACTGATAATTTAAATGACTTTGGGCCATTTTGGCAAATACATGTACCGATATGATAGATAATTAATAATATGTAATGGCTTTTACGATAAAAACTATTTGGGGTGTCCACTCACCATGTTTGTTTACACTGAACTGTTCCTCCAGTGCTATGACCGCATTCTGGATAGTCAAAAAGAGAAAAAGCGGGTATCGACTACTTGAAAGATATAACAATAAAGTACGGCATATGTTAGAAATGGTAACTTATATTTAAACCATAAATAAAAGTAAGCAGTAAATGATTTAAAAATTAAAGTACATTTTATTTTTACAAAATCTGGACTGTAACGCGCGTCGCCATGAGGGGGCGTCGTGTGACGTCACGTTACATACCGACGTAGACAGAGGACGCAATAACGACAAACTTAACGTCAGCGTCTTCGTTTAAGAGTATAAAATCGTAATGCGACATCACGGCTTATATAAAATGTCACGTGACAGATTTTTTTCGCGAGCATTTCTAAATGATTGTTTTTTCTTTAATTAAGAACACTTTAACAAAAAGAAATCAGATAGTGGTCTGATATCATCATATAATCAATTTAAAATACTTATACTATAATAGCGAATAAGGGTGTAGACAGTAAACGAAAATAAATACATATTATTTTTCTCTGGTAGTGCTTAATTCTGCTATTACCGATTTTCACATTTTTATGCTTATTGTATTTATAATCTTACATTATTTTGAAAAAAAAATTATACTCGTTGTCACGTGACCGCATACAGCGCGTGACGTCACGCCCCTTTTACTTATATCAGAATTCAGAGAATTCAACCGTACACATTTATAGAACGATATTAGTTCCAGAGGGCCCGGACGTCATAGTGACGCCATGACAGAAGTGGCGCTTTCGGTATTTCGAAAATTAAATTTATTTTTATATGAATGACACTTTTATTTAAATAAAAATGAATAAAAGTAGTGTACACCCGTATTGTGTGAGCGGTACACTGATAACCACTACCGTGTGTGGCGGCCACAGGGGGCGCGGGCTCCCCGGGGGCGGCGTCCTCCCCGGGCGGCTCCAGCTCGTCGGGGCCGGAACCCTCCTACGCACAACAGGCGTCTGTCAACTCGGTGAGACACTACAAATAATACTGATAGCCATAAGTTCTCGTTCTTTCCATTTTGACAACATCACTTAATGTTTCAAAGCAGGATTGAAACTGTTATGATTGTATTTGTACACACAGAAGCGTGATAGATTACAACAAAATGAAAAACTTCTGTAATCGATTTCGTCCTTAAAACTACGCAATAAAAGGTAATTTGACATTTTCAGATATACTGATGTGCTTTTGACTGTATCTTAACGATAATACTTCAAAAAAAAAAGTTTTGCCATTGAAGGTCCAGTGTACATCAATAACAAACTTTATCTTTATACTTATAAGAACTACTCCACACGAAAGAATTTCGATTCCTTTCGTTTCTTATAAGGTTTATTTCGATGTCTTTCTTCACTACATAGTATAAAACAAATTCGCTTTCTCAGCGAAATAATCTTCCCAGCTCTTTATCATAAATAATAACATTTACATAAATCATGTCATTTTCAAAATAATATGTATTATCACAATAATAAATACAACTTTCAAAGTTTGTAGGTCATAAGTTGTACATACATATAATTAGTCGTTATAGATCCTTAAAATAATAATCAACTTTATAATAGCCTTTACTCATAAGTACGTTCTTTACATGAATTTTAAATTTATTTATGGGTAGGTCGATTACATTTTGTGGAACTTTATTGAACATAGCAATGCGTTTACCCAGAAATGATCCTCTGGTTTTCTGAAGTCTGAAGCTTGGAACGGCAAATTTATTTTTATTTTTTCTATTAAGATTATTAACACTACTTTTATTGTGAAGGAATCGTAATGTTTTCTTGCGTACATCAAATTTTCATCAATATTGAGAGGCAACAGTCAAAATATTTATTTATTTAAATATTGGGTTGGCACAAAAGTAATGAGACACACTAGAAAAATCTATAACATTTCCTTTTTAAAATCAATTTTTTCGATAATATTCTAGAATGTTGTAAAACATTCTAGGTACTTCTGGTGTAGGGTATATAAAGCCGCGCTCGCGATTTGTTTAGTCAGTTTGAAGAAAAATGGACGAGCGACAAGTTCGAACACTATACTTATACGAGTACTTGTTAGGCCACAGTGCGCGGGCTGCGGCTAACAATATCAACAATGCATTAGGCGCTGGAAGTACAAGCCATGCGACGGTGTCCTGATGGTTTGACCGTTTTAAATCAGGAGACAGGAGCCTTGAAAGTCAGCCACGCTCAGGGCGACCAGCCGCAGTGAATGATGACGATTTGCGCCGCGAACTGCAGTTGAATCCGGATGCTACCACTTGTGAATTAGAAGAAGCACTTAAATGCAGTCACCACGCCGTGGAACACCATCTGCATGAGCTTGGTTATCGAAAAGTTTTGGCTCGGTGGGTACCGCACATCCTTACAGACGCCAGTCGTGCAGTCCGTGTCGCTATCTGTCAGTCACTTTTGCTGCGACCCCGACGTAAAGAGTTTTTGTCAGATCTGGTTACTGGAGATGAATCATGGATTTATTACGAGAACGATACACGTCGTGCTTTTTGGCTGCCTCGAGAAGAAACGCCACCAACTCAACCGAAGCCGAGTCAAAAGAACCGCCGAAAAATTCTGCTTTGCTGTTTCTGGGATGCGCAAGGCATACTGTTTTATGAGCTATTATACAATGAAACTATAAACGCTGACAAATATTCAACCCAGCTTACCAAATTATCTGCCGCTATCAAGAAAAAACGACGAAGACGAGTCAATGTAGTTTTACTGCACGATAACGCTCGACCTCACGTCGCATCTGTGGTTCGCCGGCAGTTGGAGAACTTGGGCTGGGAGACGATACCCCACCTACCTTATTCCCCAGACCTCGCCCCATCAGACTATCATTTGTTTAGAGCCCTGAAACAGCATTTGCGGGGTAAACAATTTAATGATTTCTCTGACGTAGAGGCGGAGTTGAATAACTTTTTCGAGGCACAGCCATCAGAGTTGTGGGCAAAAGGCATCCAAACTTTGCCGGATCGTTGGCAAGAAGTCTTAGATACTAATGGTAATTACATCATTGACTAAACTTTTTTTATTGTAATAATAATAAAAAGGTAAAAACTTAAACCAAGTGTCTCATTACTTTTGTGCCAACCCGATATATCTCTGAGAGATTCCCTAGACCGTCTTATATACAGCGCGGACAGCTCTTTTTTGTAGTATAAAAATATCTCGAATGCTAACCGCACAACCTCACAAAAATAAACCATACGTCATTACACTATAAAAATAACTAAAATATAGGTATATTTATAGTGTATAAAATAACTAAAATATAATATAGTGTAATCTTGCCGTTTCAACATTTGTCAAGAGTCTAATTTCCTTAATAGGAAATACTGCAGAACTCAGTCTACTTGACAAGTTATTAATATGAGGATCCCATTGCAGTCGGGAATCTAGTGTAATACCGAGGAACTTTGTCGATTCCACCAACTCAACTAATGGTAATTACATCATTGACTAAACTTTTTTTATTGTAATAATAATAAAAAGGTAAAAACTTAAACCAAGTGTCTCATTACTTTTGTGCCAACCCGATATATCTCTGAGAGATTCCCTAGACCGTCTTATATACAGCGCGGACAGCTCTTTTTTGTAGTATAAAAATATCTCGAATGCTAACCGCACAACCTCACAAAAATAAACCATACGTCATTACACTATAAAAATAACTAAAATATAGGTATATTTATAGTATATAAAATAACTAAAATATAATATAGTGTAATCTTGCCATTTCAACATTTGTCAAGAGTCTAATTTCCTTAATAGGAAATACTGCAGAACTCAGTCTACTTGACAAGTTATTAATATGAGGATCCCATTGCAGTCGGGAATCTAGTGTAATACCGAGGAACTTTGTCGATTCCACCAACTCAACTTTTTCACTATTTTACATTTATAAATGTACTAACATGCCTAACATTAGGTAATGCAAACTTTATGCATTTCGCTTTATTTGAATTGAGCTTTAAATTATTATTATCAAACCACTGTTGAACATTGTCGAGAGCATCATTTACATCGTCAAAACAGTCATTACTCCTCTTAACTTTAAACACTAAAGAGATGTCATCAGTAAATAATACTGTCTCGCACAAATTCTTCGTAAAGTGAGGAAGATTATTAATGTAAATTAGAAAAAGCAATGGTCCTAATACCGATTCCTGAGGTACGCCCATAGTAATGAGTGCCCCTGCAGATTTCGCTTCATTCATTACTACTTTTCGAATTCTAACAGAAAGATATTATTTTATTAGATTAAGTGAATTTTTCGTCACACCATAATGTTCTAATTTCCCCAACAGTGTTTCATGACTAACGCATTCGAATGCTTTTGACAGATCGCAAAAAATGTCGATAGCATCTCGTTTTTCTCCCAAGCATCGTCGATATGTCTCAAAAGTGCAATTCCAGCGTCTGTGGTACATTTACCTCTGCTAAAATCAAACTGATTTTGTGAAGTAATTTATTTAACGAAAAGTGTGCAAACAGTCGATTATAATTAATTTTCTCAAATACTTTACTCAGCGCTGGTAGTAAAGATATTGGTCTGAAATTACTGGGAACAGACCTGTCTCGACAGCTATAGATAATTATGTTTTCGAACACTTAAAAGAGAGCAGCAAGTTTTCTACTAAGATAAAATAAAAATAAAATTGCCAGTCGCGCGACGCCCAACTAACGTACGGAGTCGGCGGTCTGTGTTCAGTTATCTGTCTCCGACTCGATCGAGAGTCGTGTGATTCGCTCGTTCCTTCGAGCGGTACGAACTGTGGGTCATGAACAGACGGAGGAGGGCGACGGGGGCGGGGGCGGGGGCGGGCTGGCCGTGCGCGCGGGGGGCGGCGAGTGCGTGCGCGCGCCGCCCGACATCGCCGAGCTGCTGGCGGACGCGCTCAAGCAGCACGCCGACCTCGGGGACGTGCAGACCGCCGCCACCGCCATGCTCGTGCTGCAGGACCACAGGTACCTCCCCACCTCCCCCCCACCTCCCCACACCGCCCCACACCGCCGAGCTGCTGGCGGACGCGCTCAAGCAGCACGCCGACCTCGGGGACGTGCAGACCGCCGCCACCGCCATGCTCGTGCTGCAGGACCACAGGTACCTCCCCACCTCCCCCCCACCTCCCCACACCGCCCCACACCGCCGAGCTGCTGGCGGACGCGCTCAAGCAGCACGCCGACCTCGGGGACGTGCAGACCGCCGCCACCGCCATGCTCGTGCTGCAGGACCACAGGTACCTCCCCACCTCCCCCCCACCTCCCCACACCGCCCCACACCGCCGAGCTGCTGGCGGACGCGCTCAAGCAGCACGCCGACCTCGGGGACGTGCAGACCGCCGCCACCGCCATGCTCGTGCTGCAGGACCACAGGTACCTCCCCACCTCCCCCCCACCTCCCCACACCGCCCCACACCGCCGAGCTGCTGGCGGACGCGCTCAAGCAGCACGCCGACCTCGGGGACGTGCAGACCGCCGCCACCGCCATGCTCGTGCTGCAGGACCACAGGTACCTCCCCACCTCCCCCCCACCTCCCCACACCGCCCCACACCGCCGAGCTGCTGGCGGACGCGCTCAAGCAGCACGCCGACCTCGGGGACGTGCAGACCGCCGCCACCGCCATGCTCGTGCTGCAGGACCACAGGTACCTCCCCACCTCCCCCCCACCTCCCCACACCGCCCCACACCGCCGAGCTGCTGGCGGACGCGCTCAAGCAGCACGCCGACCTCGGGGACGTGCAGACCGCCGCCACCGCCATGCTCGTGCTGCAGGACCACAGGTACCTCCCCACCTCCCCCCCACCTCCCCACACCGCCCCACATCGCCGAGCTGCTGGCGGACGCGCTCAAGCAGCACGCCGACCTCGGGGACGTGCAGACCGCCGCCACCGCCATGCTCGTGCTGCAGGACCACAGGTACCTCCCCACCTCCCCCCCACCTCCCCACACCGCCCCACATCGCCGAGCTGCTGGCGGACGCGCTCAAGCAGCACGCCGACCTCGGGGACGTGCAGACCGCCGCCACCGCCATGCTCGTGCTGCAGGACCACAGGTACCTCCCCACCTCCCCCCCACCTCCCCACACCGCCCCACATCGCCGAGCTGCTGGCGGACGCGCTCAAGCAGCACGCCGACCTCGGGGACGTGCAGACCGCCGCCACCGCCATGCTCGTGCTGCAGGACCACAGGTACCATCGCACCGCCACACATCGCCTGCTTATATCTTATACTGTGACGCACACCACTAATTGAATAAATAAATAACAGTCCACTGAACACGGAACCTATAGAGCGTCCGAAACGTCTGAAATATTCTAATAAATAAAAAAATACCCAATAAAACGTTTCAAAAATCTATTTTAATGAATTTCATCATTTGTTAGCCGATATTATGCAGTGTTCCGAGTAACAAAATGATAAATGAAGTGTCACAATCATAATATTTTAAATCACTTTTTATGCAAAACAGTAAAGACTACATTATGTTCACCCGATCTGAAATCATACCCGATCAGAGATGGACATCTCGAAACAGATATGCGGGCCACATTTAAAACGTGTCGTTTTACAGACAAAAAAACTTTGACGTTTTTTTTATGTGTTGATTCAGAAATGATTTGTTCCCGTACATTGATGAGGGCATGCAAGAGAACTGGCTGTTGGGTTACATCGATATACTGCAGAGGCACAAGTTGTGGAACGTCGCCACAGAGGTAAGTACAATATGGCTGGATTAGGAATATTTAGAGGCGACATTTAATGAGTTATCGAATATAAACAAGAACATAATTGTTAGAAAAGTTCAGTGAGAATTTAGCAGTGGAGTTGATTTTTTAATGTTATGGGCTGGAACTTATGAATTATAAAACTGTTTTAGTTTGTGTCTAGAACTTCCAAATCCTAATACTATTTCTTCTTTGGTGGATTATATATTCTCCTCGATAGATCAAAAACTTAAATATATATATGATTTGTAGTTATAGAATGTTCTAAATGGAACTTGCCCTATTTTTTTAAATATTACTTTTTGTAAGTATTTACTTACGTATTCAGAGAGCCAGTTAGCTAAGATACTAGGATAGACATATAAAATTAGTAACTTTTTTTGTAAAAGTATATTTATTGTGATCAGTATTATAGTATATGATAATGAAGCTGCACAAATAATTAGAAACTATACTTTTAAGCTGTTGGTAAAACGTATAAAATAAAATACATAGTAATTATATTGTTATAAAAAAAAATTACATCAAAAAAGAAATTAAACTTATTTTAAACTAAAATTAATATTTGGTCGCATGTCCACGACTTTTAATAACTGCTTTACACCCACGATGCATCGACTTAGCAATTTTTGACATTTTGCATGAGAAATAGAATTACATTTTTCCGAGAAAACGTCGTATATTAAATTACCACTCAGTCGTTTTGCTAACTTTTTTTAACTTCACACCAAAGATGTTCTATTGGGTTTAAATCAGGGCCGGTCTAAGACGGCAACGGATTAAGTGTGAAAAAATTCCTTTACCGTGCGGGCTGTATGTTTTGGATCATTATCATGCTGAAATGTCCAAATAATTGGTAGAACGTTTTCAGCATAGGGTAACATTGTTTCTTCTAATACATTTTTGTATTGAACTTGATCCATGTTTCCTTGTATAAGCCTAATAGGCCGAATTCCATGACCAGAAAAGCGACCCCAAATTTTCAGGTTGCCACCACCATGTTTTAAAGTCATAAGGGTCCAATGCCTTGTTAGAGGGTCGACGTACGTATCGCCTTCCATCAGACCACACACTATTTATTTTCGTTTCGTCAGAAAAAAGTACATTTGACCACTGTTTAATTGTCCAGGTTTAACACTTTTTTGCAAACGCGAGAGCCGAGCACTGTTTTTTTTTTGTTTGAATTAAAAAATATATATAATTATTTGCGTTCTAAATTATATGACCAGCCAGTAAGAAATAATTCTTGGATTAGATTTTACGTTTGCATAATTTATACGTTTATATTCGTAGTTTATTAAATCTAATTTATAGAAAAAATAATGTGAAAGATTTTGGAGTACCACATTAATAAAAGATAATACATGCAACAAGCTATTTGTTTTTTTAAAGTAAATGTACTATTTTCATGAGAGTGTTATTAATTATATGGCCACCACTGTATACATATAATCACTGGGGACTCAGATTTTCAGATTACATTATTGTAACATACATGTACCCTTTTTTTTATACAAGAGAATGATAACCGCGCGTCTCCGGCTTGTCGTTGGTTTTATGGTCTCATAACAACATTTTTTAGATAACAGATATTATGTTATCGATATGTGAAATTGATTTATTCTTGTGATAACGTTTAGGTGATTCGCAACGCGTGGTTGAGCAGCGTCTGGACGATATCGCAGCAGTCGACGACCGTGGCCATGTGCTGCGGTCGGTGCGGCCGGAGGACCCGCCCCCACTCCGCCTGCGACCGCTGCCAGCCCAGGCAGCTGCCCGAGATATGCGCCGTCTGCCACGAGGTCAGTAGCTCTAAAAACGGTCGGTAGCTGCTACCGACGGTTGTCGGTACATTATTGAAACCGGTGTTAAGACATCCACCGTACTCCCCGGACCTTGCTCCAAAAGATTACCATTATTTTCGAAATTTGGATAACTTTTTGCAAGGGAAAAAATTCAACTCCGATGGGACAGTGCAAATCGCCTTCAAAGATTTTATTGATTCCCGTCCGAATAGTTTTTTTAGTAAGAGGATCAATGAACTACCTATGAGATTGCAAAAGTGCATAGACAACAATGGTTTATACTTTTTATTTTTTTTTATTTTATTTATTTGGGATAACAGCAACCTCAAATTACAATACAATACTTAATTCTAGAATTTACTTAGAAGGTCAATATTAGTTATCCACATAAAATACTCAGCTTCAGTTGAGGGTAAAACAATATTGTCAGTGGCCGAGCGCATCAACCGTAGGATCAACACTCGACAGTGCGTAATGGTAAGTAGTCGTTTGCCGTTGCTGCCGGCCGCCGCGCTCGACCTTATCTGCCAACTACTCACTTATTGATACAAATAAATACATAATTTATACATATCATACTAATTGTCACATTAAAAGTAATAGATATATATTATATAATAATAAGGTAAAAGATACATATATAATAATACATGTCATACAATCATACATATTTTTAATAAGCATTTATTTTACTCCCGTTAATAAATACATTTTAGTAAGTGTTGCACACATATACCATTTCTTTTTTTTTTTTTTTTTTTTTTTTTTTTTTTTTTTTTCAATTTGGTTTATTTTGTAAGCATCTTTCTTATGTTGGTCATAAAAGTTCTCTTACAAGTGATAAACGGATCAAGGCTATTAAACTTCGCATTAAACGTTCGCATGAGTCTAGTAACAACCGCATTATTACCGTACGATGTGTGGTGTCTAGGGACATAAAACATCGGTGTATGCCTTGTACGATATTTAGGTGTATTAAATGTAATAAGAGCTAGTAATTCAGGACTGTCAATGCGGCCTCTCAGTATGTCAAAAAGCAGCCCCATATCCAGCATGTAACGTCTGTCTTGCAAGATGAGCAAAGAATATAAGCGACAATTATCAGTGTATTTATTTTTATTGGACGTTTTATTGAATTTGTAATTTAATCTTGATAAAAATTTCTTTTGAATGGATTCCAATCTATTTATATGTATTGCATAATGTGGTGACCAAATCTGGCAAGCAAATTCCAAAATACTTCTAACGTAAGCACAATAGACAATTTTATAACTTATGATGTTTTTAAAAGGTTGACATGTACGCATAACAAATCCGAGGTTTCTATAAGATTTTTTAATAATATTATCTATGTGACTTACCAAGGTCAACTTTGAATCCAATATTACACCCAAATCACGCACCTCGTCTACTCTTTCGATTAGAACTCCGTTAAAGTTGTATTGGTAATTAATCAGTTTTCTTTTGCGGGTAAAAGATATACAATGACATTTGTTGATGTTGACCGAGATTTTATTTTTCTTGTAATACTTAAACAGTTGATTTAGGTCAGATTGAAGTTTTTCACAGTCTCGGATGGTTTTAATTTGTAAATAAATTTTTTTGTCGTCGGCATAACATAGGTGAAAGGAGCTATCAATAAATGCATGTATGTCATGTATGTACGCGTTGTATAGAAGAGGACCAAGGTGGGAGCCCTGTGGCACGCCAGAGGGGATAGAGATGTAATCTGACCTAAATCCACCCAAAACTACTGCTTGGGAGCGATTTGACAGATATGAAGATACCCATCTCAATAAATCACCATGTATGCCTAATGATTGAAGTTTTTGTAAAAGTATGAAGTGATCCACACGGTCAAAAGCTTTCTCAAAATCCGTGTAGATCACATCCACCTGACCGTCATTCTCCATGCTATTTAAAACAAAGTTGGTAAAAAGTGACAGATTAGAGGTTGTTGAGCGGCGCTGCATGAAACCATGCTGGGTGTCTGGTATACTTATTGAAATTGCGTTATAAATAAAATCAAAAACTACCTTTTCTAACAATTTTCCCAGCGTATTCAAAATAGATATCGGCCTATAGTTTTTGATATTCGATTTCGACCCTTTCTTATGAATCGGTGTGATTAGAGCCTTTTTCCATACATCTGGAAAAACGGATTCTTTCAGTGAGCGCCTGAATAAAATTGTAATTGGGATTACTAAACTATCGATACACGATTTAAAAAATATGGGTGGTATGCCATCACATCCAGGTCCCTTTGACGTATCTAAAGATTGCAATAGTTTATAAACATTATCTTCAGTAACGTGTATGCTAGATAAAGTTTTAATGCAGGTGAAATCATTCTGAGATTCTAATATTGTAATGTTGTTATCACTCGATGCAGGCTCAACAAATACACTTTCAAAAAATTTACTAAACGCTGCACAAATATCCGTACCATTGCTGAATATTTGATTATCAAGTAAGAACTGATGCGGATAATTAGTGCTTCCCCTTTTATTCTTTATGTAGGTCCAGAAGTATTTGGGGTTATACCGGATATGATGCTCAGCATTATTGGTAAAACGGTCAAGGCATTCTCTTTGTACACGGTGTTGACGAGATCTTAAAAGCTTGAAAACATCGTAGTCCCTAGGATTATTAAATTTCCGCCATTTTTTATGAGCTTTATTTTTTTCTTTGATTATGTTAATAAGAGCTTTACTGTACCAGACTGGGTATGACCCGCTTTTAATGTTTAAAGAAATATGCAAATCAAAGCACTCCTGTAACTTACTGTAGAACTGTTTTGTTGCTATATTGATATTATCAGCCTCAAGTGTTTTATTCCAATCAACGTTTTTGAGATACTTGTTTATTGTGGTATAATTACATTTATGATAATTGTATCGAGCCGTGTACTTCTCTTTTAATGGTTTAATATACAAGTCAATAATATTAATTTCAAAAGGAGGGTGAAAATTGTCTTCTTTAGTAAGTGGCGGCACTCGATTTACTTTTAATGTAAGATTAGAAAAACACAAATCGAGAATGTTATTACTAGCATTAGGTATACTATTATATTGAGATAATCCTAGGTACTGAAGTTCGTCGATTAAAGTCTGCGCTGCAAATTGAACTTCTGCTTTGCCTATGTGTTTTAAAGTACATCGATCACTTTCCCAGTTTAAACAGGGCAAGTTGAAATCCCCTACAAACAGGTAAATATCATTCGGATTAAATGCATAAATGTCGTTTAATGACTTTATAATATCTAGTGTTCTAGACGCTACTAAACTATCCGGGGGATTATAAATTAATATTATATTCAAGTTAGCAGTTTGGTGCAGCCTTTTGTTACTAATAGTAATACATAATGTTTCTGTCGTATGACATGACCAATTAACATTAATAAAGGCGCCCAGTTCATAACGGATACATGCCATGACGCCACCGCCACACCGCTTACCTGTACGGTTGAGATCTCGATCACTTCGAAACACGCAGTATCGACCATCACACAGCTCGGAGTCGAGTATGTCGCTCTGTAGCCATGTTTCGCTTAAAAGAATAATGTCGTAATTATGCGCCAGAATACTGTTATGGAGTGTTAAACATTTAGTGCGAAGTCCCCTCACGTTTTGATACATAATATTCAATTTTTCTGCATTGAATGTAACAAATTTGATAAATTACCGAGTAAATACTAATATGACCAAAATTCGTATATAAATATTGAAGTTTTAATAATTTATTTAGTGATGTAACGTTATTAGTGCTGTATATAAAAATCAAAAAGGGAGTAAATAGTGATTGTGACATATAAATTACGATTTTAATATAAATAACACAACTATTAGTTAGGCTATATAATTTTTTACGTGTAAATATATTATTTATAAGATGGCTATTCGATATATAAGTTTTTGTTATTTTATTATGAGAAAAATAAACAATATAAATGCGACATAATATTGTTATACAATATTCTTTAGATCTGTAGGTTCTTTGATGTGTATGGACGCAGAAGTATCGCTCTTTCTCACAAATAATTTTCCATCGCGAATCCAAATATAACGATAGTTTTTTGCTTTTGCCATTTCACGAGTATTTTTATACAAAATTTTATTTGATCGTGTTAGGTGCTCGTTTACAAAAATTTTGGTCTCCTTGCCAGAAATATTGATATTAGTGGTAGTAATGCCCTTCTTGGTACGAATCCCTGATAAGATGGTGTCACGGACAAGTCGAGATTTGAATTTCACTATGATAGATTTAGGACGACCTGCGGTTTTAATAAATGGTTGTATTCTATTGACGTGTAATATATCCTCTGAAGAAATTTCAATTGCCACATATCGACCAATAGCGGTTATGTAGTCAAGAAGATTTTCATTATTCCGTTCAGGTATGCCTGTTATTTCAAGGTTGTTCAAACGTTCGCGTTGCTCTAACGTATTCAAATCTTTTTGTAATTTAGCGACCTCAGACTTCAGCGAGTGACAGTTTTTAGATTCTAATTTAATCTGCTGAACATCCTCCTGCATTTACTTATATTCTTTTTCCTGGAAATTCAATGTTTCCTTGACATCATCCATATCGGTTTGCAACTGTGAGTAGCGTAAATTTATGGAACTGATGTCAGCTTTTATAGTTTTTAAATCCTTTTTAATAACGGTGTTTATATCTTCCTGAACTGCCAATATTTTGCCACTTAGATCAGAATTTAAGAGGCTTAGCTTCGAAGATATATCTGTCATAGCCCTCTCGAGTTTCATTGAAGTGTCAAGATCTTCATCTCGGCCTTTTCTTTTTAGTCGGCGACTAATAATATTAGAAGTATTATCATCCATCGATGGTATATCGGAATTAAAGGAGCAGGCTGAATCCATATTATAGGTTTGGATTCCTTTTTTTTTTATTTTTTATTTCGTAATTATAATAAAGTGAGGGTATAAACACCAGAGAACGAAAACCAAAAACTATTGAGTGCAAATATTAAAGAGTACTTTGATTAAATAAATATATTATATTAAAAAATATTCGACATTTTGTTCCTGCCATACCAAACACCGATTTCATATGTAAGGACCTAATATATGATGGGGTGACTAGTAACGGCAGTGCGGTGTTGTGGTCAGGTGGTGCGCGGGCTGTACGCGTGGTGCCAGGGCTGCTCGCACGGGGGGCATCTGGTGCACATGCGGGACTGGATGCGCCGCCACCAGTACTGCCCCGCCGGCTGCGGCCACCAGTGCCAGCTCGGCTGACGGCTGGCGGCTGGCGACGCTACTTACTTAGGGACGATACGAACTTACATTTTTATACACGGTAGTGGTCATGTACTGTCCTTTTGTCGAGAATGATCATAGTTTTAAGTAGAAAATTAACATAGTATTTTGTGAAATATTATCTGACGAACTCCTAATACTGTCTTATTAAAATGTTGATAGATAAAATGCGATAGTAAACAATCACGTCGGTGGGTGTCGTCGCGTAGATGTTATAAAAACGAATCTGCATTCGATTAGCATTTTAATAAGATACGATCGCTAGCATATTCACAGACACCCGACCACTCGTGCCCGTCCATCAGTCGAACGGTTATTTTCTAACGCGGTTTCAACGAGGAATATTCTTTCGAGTACAAATCTTTGCAAAAAATATAATGATATTTTTAATTGCTAGTCCCTTTCGACGACAGGGTATAAGTATAGTTCCTAGCCCCTAGCATGTATTTTTTAGAATTATCCTAGTTGAAATATCACTCAAGCGGGTTAGTCATATCCTAGTCATTTCATCAGTACGATGGCAATTCTGTTCGAGGTCGGGAGGTACCCCCGGCAGTAGTTTATCCTGTTAACTGTCTCGTTTGTATCTTTAAAGAGATGATCTCGACGACGCTGTGATAAGAAACTAGTTTAACTTGCCACCCTGAGATATCACACGAGTATTTACAAAATAACACTTACATGAAATTTTAAAAATTTGATTTTTTTTACGGTGGCTCTAGTTATTAAATTTATATTTTTTTTTGTCAATTGATATCCATATTCCCTTCCACTGATATATTTAGATTATATTATGTTAATGAGAGAATATGGACTTTATCTTAGCTTTTCACGTTTACTAGATCAAAAACATCTCGCCAAAGATAAGTCCAAAGATGAGCTGCGTCTTATTGCTTGCTCGACTCTGGTTCAGTTATAGGAATAGATTGACCCTCTATTGTTTGTTAGACCGACATTTTTCCGCCTCGGGGTAGTCGCCTCCTGATCTCTATTTAGACTAAATGTCTACAAGTTCATTTGCCATCTTTCAGGTACATACTTCAGAGAATAATACATATACCTCATATTCATTATATGAATATTATTACAATAATTGTATAAGCTGTTGTTTATTATGTTGTATATCGTGCCTAATAGACTGATTTGACGTTTACTTAGTGTAACTTGATATATTATTTTATTTTACATAGTGATGAAATATTAATGCGAGACAGAAATTGTATGTCGCGAAAAACTCCCACCTAGTTGATAAGTTAATTAATAAGATCTATGATATAACCACTTTACAGACTGATAATTTTATAATATTACTGATATTTTATAATGCTAGGTGAATAAATGAGAAATATTTTATATACTTCATATTTTATTTAATACAATATTCACATCCTTCGAACTCCCCAATACAGCAGCAACTATTTACTAGTAAATACATACGTCTGCTTGACACTTAATTTAATACTGATTCACTTACTTAAAATTATGTGTCGCTGCAACGTTCCGATAGTCGATTTTGAACTTCTAACGGTACAGTTTAAATCAATGCAGAAATTGGACAGGTTCGAGTGACCAGAGCCTCAATTTTCCTAATATTAACATAATTATGGCATCTTTATGGTGTCTGCGTTAATTAATTTTTATCATTATACTAATCGGGTACACCAGAAGTCCAAAATTATTAGTATTATATTCATATTAATGGCCACATGTGCTTGTTATATTATGATCTGAGTAACAAGAAACTAAAACATACCATACGGGTATAGTTTTATCAAAACCCTATTGTACATATGAAGTAGCAAAATTCAATTAAAGGAAATGCCATTGAGATGCCATTGTAAGGTCAGCAGAATCGAGGGCCTGCTATTCGGGCGTTAGACACTCAACACACTAACGTCAATATAACGTGCGTTGCCGTATCATGTTATCGTCGAAGAACATCTCTGAACCGTGTAGTTACCCTTCAGAGACCGGTGTGACGCCATTACATACGATGGCTGGATCGATTTTTTGTGGATCGACTGTTGATGAGTAGGATTGGTACCAATGGTAACAGCACGGTGGCATCAGCAGGCCAGGTTACGGTTGTCCTAGCTGAGGCAGCAGCAGGGCGGGGCGCAGCGGGGGCGGCGCGCGGGCGCGGGGGACGGGGCCGGGGGCAGCCCCAGCTTCTGGCGGGACATCTCGCGGATCAGCATCAGGAACGCCTGCGGGTATCGGTTGTACCACCGTACAGCAGGGAGGCCAGTCTTGTGTGTCGATAAGAAAGAGTGGGAGAAGATCACGGTACCCTCTCTGTATCTCGGCGGTTTGTTATAGAGATTCTTCATTGTGGCAGCATAGAGTTAGAGATAGGGTACCGCGATCTTCTCTCTTCCCTCTCTATAGCCGAGGGACGTTTTCTCTTAAATGCATCCAGCTTCCTTTCCCCACTCTGCTATAATACCTCTGTGTGTGTGCATATACAGAGTTTCAAATCACTTTTATACCTACTTCATATTATCAAAAAGAAATACTTATTCTTAGTTTCTTGCTTTATTCAAATTTTTGCTTTCAATTATACAATATTATGTACCTACTGTTATGACATACATGGTTATGCGAGTTTGTATCAAGGACAAAATAGAAGCATCAACCCAACGATTAGCGTGCCATTTAAATTTAAGCATTACCTTGCATTTTAGTTAATCGTTGCATTAAAAGTATGCCATTTAGGTGTGCAATGGCCTTTTATCGCAGTGTACAGGGTAGTACTTGAATGATTAGTTGTACAATCAATCTCTAGGAATTGTTGTGGAGCAATTCTGAATATTGAAGTAATGTAACAAAATAAAGAAAAAAGCAAGGATTTAGCTAAATAAATAAACGAGCTTTTGCAAATAAGTATATTTCGGCTTTAATTATTAACTTCTCCATTCTATTATTATTTTTGTTCTGGCGTGTGTCTTTCGAATACACAGATCGATACTCCATACATTCGTAATCAAATCTAACTTATAGGAAAACTTCAGTACATTGCATTAGGTACAAAACGATACACATCACATATACACCTTCACCTCGAGGCGGCCATGAGCCCATTAATACGATCCTACTGTAGTGGTCAAAGTGGGATGGCGCTATACACACGTATAGCTCTCTCACTTTGATAAAGACTTTAGTATCGCATTTAAAAAGTCATCTTAATATCCCCGTAGATATGGCAGGAAAACTCAACCGGTTCACAAGCTCAATGGATCGACGGTTCTGTGGTTTCATATTACACTGGTATACTTTACAAACTTTGATAAATCTATGAAAACGTGAAATAATAAATGTATCCGGTATTTATTGTTTGATGTCCAGTACAGCGCGCGCACACGTAATATCGTTACATATAAATAACAGTGGTCTCACGGGCATTCCCGTTTAATTATATAATTAGTGCAGTAAATATAGGTGTACCAGAACCTGATGGCACAAAAACAATCTAAATTTTCATATGGAAAACTTAATTGTCAACTATTGACAACTGTCATGTCAAAGTGTAAATTGCTATGAATACATAATATTACAAGTATCAAGACGTCTTTGTCCTTTTTCCCCAATATTGCCTTCTACAAATTAAAATGTCAGATTCTGTTACACCTATAAGAAGCATACTAATTTCTTCAAAACTGAAAAAAGAAATTATGAAATTCATTGAATATGCAACCTAATAATTATGTAATCAAAATGCATGTTATACTATTTTAACTATCTATCAATATGACTGCGAACAAAGAAACCGTCACCTGCATTTAGTTTTTATTCGTATGTAAATGTTTTAAGTTATCTAATAAATTAGTTTCAAGCATTTTGTGACTGTTTCGTAAAGCTAAATAAAAATATTGCGCTCATAGATATTCATCAGACCCCCGCAACATGGCGTTACTTGGATTGCTGAGACCACTTTGCTACTTATAAACACAGAGTAGACAATCATAACCCCCGCTTAAAGCCTCACATGAATATTATACACAATGTTCTTATATAAAAATCTAATATTAAGAATAATACGCTTCACTATTCACCAGTCTATAGTAACAATTTAGATTGGACCATATACAAGCTAACAAACGTAGTGCAAGAATGGCCCTCTCAAGTTTTTTTTTTAATGCAGGTTCCCCACTTTTGAGCAGGTTGAATGGCCCTCTCAAGTTGCTACTAGGGGAGTAGTGAAGGTACTGCGCGTGGTTGAGTTGGACAAATCTTAATATCATCGTAAATACATTAATGGCATATTTTAGAAAAAGCGCATTCCTGCTAAAACCGCGTGATATCAACCATTCGTTGATAAAAATTTGCATTATCCATACTTCACAATGTCAATAAAATACGAGATTGCGTACAAAACACTTAAATACGTTATACACGTCTAGCAAATAACTAATAATTAATATTATATTAAATCGCTTAAGAAGTATCGGCATGCTTCACTGTAAATTAACGTTCACAAAACATTAGGAACGATCTGTAGCCATATTCATATTATATATTTCACTTTCTGTATAACATTATCATGAATTCATATCAGTTCCCGGTAATATTTTACTGTGTAATAAGAATTGTAACCAAAAAAAAAGTGCATAAAATTCAATATTCTCGATTTTATACTTCATCTATATTTTATACAAGTGATACACAACAATTTTACAGGCTTAAGGCGAGCAGTATAAAGTAAGAGAACACAATACATTCTGAAAGCAGACACTCATTTGCAAAACGACACGACGGAGAATCTTAAAGCTCAAATAAATTCATTGCCTTTATAAATTAATTCAATTCATATTATCCAGGAGCCCGGGCCGCGTGTCGTCTTGTCGGTGATCGCTTAAAATCTAATGTGAAGTATCGTGAAGCGCTCATTATCTATCGATTAAATAATAACCACCGGAGCGATGAGCAGTGCACTACACGCAGATACAATGACAAACAGTAGAACAGCACACTTGTACTATAGTTTATATATTTTTCTATTATTATTATCATTTCTGTTTCAAATTCTTAGCGAGTTCACTCGGGGTTCGATTACGTCAAAGCAATATACCGAGCTTTATTTTTATCATCGCGCCAGTGTATCTGCGGCCGCACGTCACACAGGACGGTCGGCACTCATCCGTCTCATTTAATAATAAATACAAATCTTAACCTAAACCGGCCGCCGCGTCCGACCCGGCGGCGACGTCAACACTGGGGCATCGGCCCCGCCTTCCTCGCGCACACAATAATCACGCCCGAGAACGATATTCGAGATAAATATATGCCAGCACCAAAACGTTCGATACGACACCGGCGCGGCGTTCGATGTTGCACCTCGGCGGGAGGGCGGAGGGTCGACGGTCCCGCGTCGGTGGAACGGGCGAAGTTCATCGGGCACTCGTATGGGAAACGTTCGCAATACTCGTAAAGCGGCCGCCGGCGGAACATCGGCCGCATGCAGGTGGGGCGTGGCGGCCTGCAGGCCTACAAGAGCGCGCACTTGATTTTCCTGCGTTTCTTCTTCACGTCGCCGTTGGAGGCGCGACTGTCGTCCGACTTGCGCGACCTGATCTCCCGCATCAGATCGAAGAACACCTGCACACACGCACACACGTACACATACACATACATACGCACACATGCACGCGCCCGTAAATAAGCCCCTCCCCTCCACCAGGTATGGACAAACATCCACGACCGACACTAATCACACGGCTCACAAGTCAGCGGTCGATACTATCTGGGGCAGTTCTATACAGAATCAGTCGTATCATCCGAAAATAAATAGCTTTTTGTTTTCGTAACATCAATCATTTACAAACCTGGGACCGATCGCGATCCCGAGCCAGGTGTCGAGTGAGTCAAGTTTGTATTGAACTCTTCGCATGGAGTGTAGATGGAACAGTGAGTACCTTGTCGACGTTGTCCCTGGTCTTGGCGGAGGTCTCCACGTAGGGCACTGCCCAGGCCCTGGCGCGGTCGCGGCACGCCTCCAGCGGCACGCGCCGCTTGTCCGCCAGGTCCGACTTGTTGCCCACCAGCAGGAACGGGATGTTCTCGTCGTTCTTCACGCGCAGGATCTGCTCCCTGCGACCACACATCCAGACATCACTCGAATTCTGCTCACTGGATACTAGAATAGCCGTTTACTACTGAAACGTGTTTCGCGATCCATTTTAAACTGACTCTCGACCCCTTAAGAGTGTCGTCGAAAGTGCAGTACGACCCGGCAGGTCCTTTTATTTACCTAACTATTACAGAGTATAAGAGTAGGTGCTCTTCATGTATACGCACCTAAAATGGTTTGTATGTGAGCGCGCCCGTGAATATGCGTCGTCGCACGCACACACTTGCAAAGTTATAGAAGTTATAGGAGTTCAAGGCACGAGTGGCAACTAGCCAGTCGTGGCTAGTACGCCATGCTGGCGTATATTCCATGTACCGTATTGCCGCTCGTTATAAAATTTGAGTACGTAAACAAGATGGCTTTGAAAACTAAACCAAATTATCGCTTTTTCTTTCCCTATATCCCTATGTACGCTTATGCTTATAAATCTTTAAAACTACGCAACGAATTTTGATGCGGTTTTTTTCATAAATAGGGTAATTCAAAAGGAAGATTTTTATGTATCAAAGTCAAAGTCAAAGTCAAAATAATCTTTATTCAAATAGACTTCTTAAAAGTACTTTTGAATCGTCCAACATTTTTTCCCTACCACTCGTTCAGGACGTCTTTTGGCTGATAAGAAGAACGAGCAAGAAACTCACCAGCTCTAATATGAGTAATGACATTTACAAAAACCATGTCATTACCAGATCAATACATTATAAACAGAGATAAAAAAAAAAAAACTATGGTCTTATAATAATAACATAATCATTTAATAATAATGGAAACAAGATAATGAGTTTAGAAGTAATCACCTATCCAGTTGCTGGATCATCTCAAGTCCAAGCGTTCTTATCTGTTACATAATCGGATACCTTATAATAAGCTTTTTTAATAAGTATTTTTTTAATAGTAGATTTAAACTGCATGATATCTAATTGTTGTATTTTGCTTGGGACCTTATTGTAGAAGCGCACACAAAGACCCTTGAAAGAGTTATTAACTTTTTGCAGTCTAGTGACAGGCACCGTTAATTTATTTTTATTTCTTGTATTAAAATTGTGTACATCACTTTTTATAGAAAACAAACTAATATTTTTACGAACGTACATTAAGTTCTCGTATATGTATTGAGAAGCAACAGTCATAATGTCTATTTCCTTAAATTTCTCCCTTAAAGAGTCCCTAATCCTAAGATTATAAATTGATCGAATTGCTCTTTTCTGAAGCACAAAAATTGTTTGTATGTCGGCAGCATTTCCCCACAATAGGATACCGTATGACATAACACTATGAAAGTAACTGAAGTATACTAATCTGGCAGTATCTATGTCAGTTAACCTACGTATCTTCATTACGGCATATGCTGCAGAGCTAAGTCTACTCGACAATCTATCAATATGTGGGCCCCACTGTAGTTTAGAATCTAATGTTATTCCTAAAAATACTGTGGTATCCACAAGGCCCATGTTCTTATCTTTTACATTAACATTTATATCTACTTTTTTAACATTAGGTAGTACAAATTTTAAGCATTTTGTTTTTCCTTCATTAAGGAGAAGATTATTTACATTAAACCAATGTACTACTTTAGCGATAGAATTGTTCACATCGTCATTTAGAGGTAACCCTCTTTTAATTTTAAACAAGAGTGAAGTGTCATCCGCAAACAAAACTATTTCGTGATCATCCCTTACGAAATAAGGCAAGTCATTTATGTAAATCAAAAACAAGAAAGGACCAAGTATTGAGCCCTGCGGAACGCCCATCTTAATTTTCGATCCAGGGGATCTTTTGCCATTGATATCAACCCTCTGTACTCTGTCAGTCAAGTATGAGACAATAAAATCCAATGAGTTATCTCTAAATCCATAAAAATGCAGTTTCCTAATCAATGTTTCATGAAAAACACAATCAAATGCCTTAGATAGGTCACAGAAAACACCTAACGCATCATGTGAATCCTCCCAGGCATTAAAAATTTCTTGTATTAACTCGACACCGGCTTCGGTTGTCGAGCGACCCCTTGTAAAACCAAATTGTTGTCGATTCATAAGCTTATTCTTGTAAAAGTACGTTTGTATTTGATCCAGCATGATTTTTTCAAAAATCTTACTAAACGTAGGTAGCACGGATATAGGTCTAAAGTTAGTAGGGTCAGATGTGCTACCCGATTTATGTAAAGGAATAATTTTACTATATTTCATGAGCTCAGGAAAAATACCACAATCAGTACATTCATTAAATATATAAGCTAAGATTGGAGCTATTGTCTCAATTACCGATTTAGAAACTTCAATGGAATTACCCCATAAATCAGCAGTTTTCGTTTTCTTTAGCTGATTAAAAGATTTTATTATATCTTTAAAATCAATGTGTTGAAACTTAAATTGGCTATTAGAATTATTTAAACTTGCCTTTAAAATAGATTCAGCAACAGTGGAAGAGGAATTCAAAGATTGTGTAATTAAGACTGGAATTTCAGTAAATAAATTTTCAAATACTGTAGCAACTTCAAGATCTGATGTTATTTTTTTATTATCAATGTTTAAATTAAAATTTATATTCCGGGATTTTTCTCTTCCAGTTTCACTATTTATGATATTCCACGTCATTTTAACTTTGTCTTTACTATTTTCAATTTTTGCATTTAAATAATTACATTTGGCTAAACGACACACTTTTTTAAATAATTTAGAGTAATTTCGTACATATTCTTTGAAGTCCTCACTTGTGTTATAATTACGTTCATCATATAGTTCATAGAGCCTTTTTCTGCTTTTGTAGATTCCTGGTGTAGCCCACACACTAAAAGTTATAGTATAATACAATATCACGCGGACGAAGCCGCTGGCGGAAAGCTAGCGCATTAATAAATCCAGTATATGATATTTCACATTTTTATAAATCAAGTACATATACAGTATTTCGTTCTTTAGGTATTCGGGTAATTTATTATAATATCATAAGTAATTGTAATTTTGTGAAGCTATTTACGCATCGAAAGTGTTTATGAATTATTTCTGTTTCGTTTATCAGAAATCAATTTGTAGTTTAATTTATTAAATCTCTATACCCGAATACCGCCAAATTAAAATTGCTATTGAATTATATATTTACGTTTTAGGCAATATAAGAAAAATATGGGCCATTGATAAAAACACATGACTATTAAAAATTAAGATCGGCATTATCTCATTTTGTTCGTAGCCTGATTATTTGGAAAAAAATGAATAAATACTCGTACATAATTCATTTAAACCACGTTTTAATTTTACAAAACATTAAATTGATGACATGACGTACATATGAAAAATATTGCAGTCTATATTTTAGAGATTGATTGACTAAGCATTTATGACGATTCAATAACCTATAAGGGAAAGCCTTACGTGTTTAGGCTATTATCTCTCGCTCTGGTCTCGAGTGCACCTATTTATATATTTGTACTGTGGTATTACCTACGGATCGTCCGTTACGTTACGGCTACTTTGCATTACAAATATTTGCCAAATTATAGCACGGGCATATTAGAACAAATGTATTTATTGTAATCTAATTTATTTAACTAGATTACTGTGTTGGCTAAGGACTACTGGTAAACTTTATTAGAAACGCTTTATGATTTTAGGGCAACGATATTATTTTAAATACCAAGTTCATTTCTTGACATTGAAATAGGAAGCGCGGTAGATGAGATAAACAACGTGACAAAAAACTGGCGTACGACTATTTAAAACTGTTACATATCAAAACTCTACACGGTCTCACGATAATAATTCGATTGAACGGTTTATAGAGAGAACCCAGAGAATTTTAAATTCACATTTGCCCTAGTTAGTAAAATTATATAGGTAGCTTTATCGTTATTTAGGTGTTGTCATAACCTATTGTTCCTACCGACAGAGACACGGATATGTAACCGACGAACGAAAACGACACTTATCGCTATCCACCCCGCTCTGTATCGTTTCTGAGTAATACGGGACGCTAAAATTGGAACCAATACAATGGTGTATGTGGTATGGTGCTAGAACTATACCTGAACTCTTGCGTAGCGTCGAAGCTCTCCGGTTCAGTGATGGAGAAGACGCAGAGGAACCCCTCGCCTGACCGGAAGTAGTTGTCCCTGATGGCGGCGTAGTCCTCCTGCCCCGCCGTGTCCAGGATGTCGATCTGTACCTCCTCGCCGTCGAGCACCACCTGTAACACGCGTACACAACACATGTGACCATGCTTCATCTGAAGGGCTAACGGATTTTTATTTATTTAGGAAGACAAACTGTTATTGACAATTTAAATACTAATTTATTTATTTTTATTTTATTTATTTATTCAATTTAATAATAATTCTTTATTTGCTATAAATAGGGTAGATTACAATGAAGTGGATAGTTGTCTTCAATAACGTACTTAGACCTATTTAGCCATATTATTTCACTAGCATGCAAATGTCAGTTCAACTGGATTTCAAAACAAAGTCCATTTTAAATAATAATAAATATTAATTAAGATATTTAAATTAATTACATTTATTGAAATAATCTTGTGATTTGTCAACTTTAACATTAATTATAAACTACTAGAACATTTAATTAAACTCTGTATCGACCACAACTATGCTATACCTTGTCATTTAAAAAATCTTCCACTGCATAGAAGGTATGGTTCAACAGCCATCGACGTAACAATGTTTTGAATTGCTTAATAGGGAGGATATCTTTAAATTGTCATGGTATTTTATTGTAGATATTTTGCCACATAGAGGTACAATTCTTTAAGAATCGTTCTGCTTTTGGGACAGTTTCCAATACCAGTCTATGGGGATGGCGCCTAGACCTTTCGGATATATCGCACACCTTTGTAAACTTTTGAATATTCTGATGAAAAAAACTGCTACCGCAAAAATAAAAATAATACCATTTCTTTAGTTGCTAGCTATTAACAATGATGATCGAATAAAATTAACGTACACATTAAACAAATAGTTGCTTCCCTACAATAATTTCAAAATTCACTTTGATTATTTAGTTTTAAATATAATATCTCACACTTTTCGTTTAAAACCAATATAAATAAAATTTACAAAACATTAAAATAGTTTTTTTTTTTTAATTTACTTATTGGATCGACATTACTACTTCACTAATATGTAGAAAGTCTAAGGTTACCGAGCCAAAATATGTACCCAGTAAGATTTCTCTACTATGCATCATACATATTCCCTATTCTGTGTACTTTACTTCGACGACACAAACCTCATCAATACTTTTAATGAAAATACAGAAGACATTATATGAGACACGACACGTAAACACGTATACAATGTATAATCCTTGGAACCAGAGACAAACTTCTTCAGATTAAGCTCTGTACATATATGACGGAAGATGCGTCGCGAAATTAATCCAGAGGGCACACACTTGACTCAACATATATCTTGAATATTATTGTGTGTGACTTACTCTACGATATTAATCATTACTGAAAGTAGGATAGCCGGCATATTTATTAATTTATCGAATCTCGAGAAGAGTACGCAAGTTTCAAGACAAGTCAGGTAAAAATTGTGTAATGTTACGAGTATCAGCGAGATGATTTACTTTACTGACTATATACCCAGGCGTTGTCAATGTTACATTAGAAAATATTATAAAACTAAAAGAAATCCATACTAATATTATAAATGCGAAAGTTACTCTGTCTGTCTGTTACTTAATCACGCCTAAACCACCGAATGAAATTTGGTAAGGAGATATTTTAATACCCAAGATAGGACATAGGCTACTTTTTACCACGGGAAAATGACGCAATCCCATGGGAAAATAATCTAAATATATACATATAACTCAAAGGTGACTAACTGACATAGTGATCTATCAACGCACAGCCCAAACCACTGGACGGATCGAGCTGAAATTTGGCATTCAGGTAGATGTTATGACGTAGGCATCCGCCAAGAAAGGATTTTGATCAATTCTATCCCGAAGGGGATAAAATAGGGGATGAAATTTTGTATGAAACTTTGTCAATTTTAAACTGATCGGGCTGAGATTTTGTATAAATAAGGCTCCTATGACGTAGGCATTCTCTAAAAAGGATTTTAATGATTCCACCCCCAAGGGGATAAAATAGGGTTTGAAAGTTTGTATGAAATTTTTACAATTTTAAGGGCTGAGACTTTGCATGCATAAAGCTACTATGACGTCAGCATCCCCTAAGAAAGGATTTTGATAAATTCCTTCCCTAAGGGCATAAGCTAAGAGGATAAGACTTTTTTTTCAGGTATTTTACACGATATAATGAATAAATATTCGTTAGAAATGCTGCTCAAAGTAACACGCGGACGAAGTCGCGGGCAAAAGCTAGTAAACATATAAACCTGAGACAATGTGAAATAATGTATCGTCTAGATTGACATGAGTTCACGAAACTTGACGAGCCACTCGACACAGAGGTAGTCAGTCAGTTTATAGGAACAGTTTACTTCATATTGGCTTCTATATTAATTTAAGAAAACCTGGAACTTACATGTGGATATATTTAATCTCACTTAATGAAACCTTGGGGGATGCGATTCCAAAAGTCAAGGTAAACTTACATGAGATACCTTTCATTTTCATTACCTACCTAAAAAACTGAATGCTTGAACTTCAGACACTACTATTAGTTATGGTGACGCAATCGCATAAACTTATGTCTGCGAGCATTTCCCTGAGCTATACCATACCGTGTAATATTAATAGCTTGTGTACTCTGAGTCGGGTGAATACCCTCCACCACACGCACTGTGGACGATATACGGGATACCTTTTCATAGAGCATTTGAAAAAATATATTTATCTATATTGACAGTTTGACATCTATCTACAGTTTGGTTGATATAAAATAAAAAATTATACGTATTTTTTGTAATTATACAAATTAAGACAAAGATAATGTTCAGGCCGTCCATTCATCACGATTAGAATTTCGATTGCCAAGATTTTCTCTGCAAAATAAATACATATTCAGGATAACTCGCCAAAAAACGGAATCCTTATAGATTCACTCGTGTGTTCGTCTGTTAGTCCATCTTTCACAACAAATTCCAAATCTTTCGGGCCGACCGAATTAAATTTGGTTAGCTTTGTAAGTGGATGACTCAAAGAAGCACCGCATAATTTAATGCCGCAATATTGCAAATACATTTAGAATTTTTAAATATGGCGGCCTCTTTGAACAAATTTATATAATATGGGCTAAAATATATAAATACAAAAAAGGCAGAGACAGGCCCGGAATATATATTAATACAACACATGACACAGTACTCGGTTTGACACACACACTTCCGCCGCCTTCTATGTCAGATCTAATGGAACTTCCTGTAGGTGGAAACACCATATATCTGACTGAACAATTAAGCATTATTTTTGGTGAAACGATCGTATGACGGACGGAAGTGTAGGTATTATACAAAACATTGATGTTGATATTGGAAGGATGTGCTTTTTATTAAACATGAAGTCGCTTTAAAATATACACTTTCAAAAAATACTAGTTCCTTCTTAATGGAATATATTACTTGCTAGACGACCGAATATGATCAACATGAGTGCTAGTGAACAGGCAGCGCTCTAGGTAAGTTAAATGCTAGAGTAAGCTTACATCGGCTGCTGCTAAGGACATAATTGGTTCGTGGAAGACCACGTGATTTCAGAAAGTTCGTAACAGTATTGCATAAAATCGATAATATGTCTGAACTTAGGGTAGGTGCCAATAGAACTGTTGAGTTTAACAACAGAACAACAGACCGTCCTACGATGTGTCTCACCTTCTTTCTGTAGCTGTCCGCCTTGGTGGGCTCATAGTCTTCAACGAACTCGTCGTACATGAACTGCAGCGTGAGTGCCGACTTGCCGACGCCGCCTGAGCCCACCATGATCACCTTGTGGAGCGTGGGCGCCGCCGCCGGCTTCTTAGACATCACGGGGGACGTACGTGACACCACGCCACCACACTGCACATTACAATTCAATACAATGCTACTGTTACAAATATGTACGTCTGTCTTTCTATATCTACAAGCCACACTTCTTGCACTTCCACACAACAAGACACGGTCTTTCTTTGACATTAGATAGCTTTTTAAATACACTTATATTGATTTTTATAACTCCTCATACACCATCATTAGGAATGATGCCTGATTAAATAAAAATAAATTCTATTTAGTCATATTGCCACTAGTTTAAACAAGAAAATGACTTGGATATTATTAAAGGGGAGTGGGGGCTCACTACGTCATAACTGTGGGATGACATGTCACATTTCAACTAAATGTATCGGCGTAATTCAAACAGAGTAGCAGCAACATGTAAATTGACATCGATTTAAATGGCATTTAATTCAACTCTCTGTAATGAAGAATCTGTTGGTTCTGATCTCATATATTATTCTAATTTAATTAGACTAGTCGGCCGATTATTACGATGTTTAAGAACCTATTTATCGGTAATCTTTATTCCTGTAATGGGATTATAAACATTGCTCATATCTAAAAAATGTTAATGACATTACATTGTTTATCTACAATATATCATTAACTTCTACTGTATAATTGTATATATCCAAGAATCCCTCAAAGGCTTACTGATAAGATCATAGATAACCAATCTGGTAATAGTACTGTGGTATCGTAATATCGATAAACGAATACCAATATCCTCATTTTCGGGAAAGGGATATCGATACTATCATATTGAGAGTCAAAAGCACGTCAGCTTATACAAATCTGTCAGATTTCTTCACTTTCTTTACACCTAACAAATTGGGGTAATCTGACGTGCAATTACACCATCACACCATTATACACAATATAGGTGCGTAAATACACACACGACCCTAAGGGAAACAGGAGCACGAATAGTTGTTTGCAAGAGCTATAGCAACAACGCATAGCCGTTTCCTCACGGCTTCACCCTCGTAAATTAAAGCCTACTAGTGGACGCCCGCGACTTCGTCCGCGTGGAAGTCGGTATCCCGTGGGAGTGAGAAGTTTTCCCAGTAAAAAGTACCCTATGTGTTATTCTGATGTATAACCTATATTGCTGTAAAGTTTTATCCAAATCCGTCCAGTAGTTTTTTCGTGAAAGAGTAACAAACATCCATACATCCATACTTACAAACTTTCGCCTTTATAATATTAATAGGATGTCACCCGCGTATGAGGCAGGTTCCCGTAGGTGTAAGTCGGCCCAGTAGTTGCAATCAAAAACATACAAACAATCAAATTTTTCCTCAGTACAATATTAGTATAGATGATCAGTAACTTATCGTAAAACAAACGAATACAACAGTACTATAGGCGACTGTTTTGCTTATGAAAAATACGTTTTTTACGGTTGGCAGACATGTTGCACCATAAAGACAGTACACCGTGAAGTATTTATAATTCACAAATTGCGTAGTATGCATATTTAATGAGCATAATATAGAACAGTTACAGTAGATACCCATTCAACATTATACTATTTTAGTATTCAGCGCGCACACTCTGGTATTCTACAAATGCGCGGTAATGGGAATATAAACAAAGGCTAATCAGTAATCAGCAGTAGTCAGCGAGCTGGCGTCACTTCCCGTTAGCTAATAGCACGGGCCGCGTTAAGTCGTCTAGTGGCACAGATCATATGAGTGTCGTTAGTCCTGAACCTGATGCGAGTTGAGACTTCAATAATTGTACAATTGTACATGTAAGAGAACGCCTGCAGGATACACTAGTATTGTGACAAACATGTACTTCAGCAACAAAATATTGAAAAATGTATAGGTAACTAGTTTGCTGTTATATGAATGGAAGAAAAGACTTCTTGAAAGATAAAGAAGGAATTAAAAATAAACAAAAGAATGTTGGAGGATAAAGAAATGGAAAAATATCATTAAAAAAATTTATTAGTTAACAAAGTATAATTAATTGCTGTTTTCCCGGCAACTTCGCACTCGTAAATTATAACGTATGTGAACCCCGTATGATGTAGCTATCCGAAGTTCAAAAATTTTTTTTAAATCGCTCCAATAGTTTCGGAGCCTATTCAATGTAAAACAAACAAACAATCGAATATTTCCTCTTTATAATATTAGTATAGACAAGAAGGTGGACAAAAAAAGTATTAAAGAAAAATAGGTCTAACTACGTCAAGAGAAAAGCCAACTAAATTCGCATTGTTTTAAGCAAATACGTATATAAGGTACACATGATTATACAGATAAATGGAATCTTTTTTCTTTAGTAAAAGTTACTTGCGCTGCAAAATTTCTGCTACCTTGGCTACCATCAGGTGCCATCAACGGTACTTAGTCACTATCGGAGCATTAATGTGCCTTGTTATTACGCTTTGTTAAATTACACAATGTTAATACGCTATTGCACGTTATTTTACATAAATAATGGCTCTAAACAACTCTAGTGGATATTTGAATGTAAAAGCGACATACTACTATAAACAGAACCATTAGAAATATTGTTTCTAAGAGTTCTGTCAGAACCAAAACGTGAATTTATAAAATTTTCACCACAGAAAAAACAAATACCACTAAATGTCTATTTTTTTGTAGTAATTAATATTGAAAAATATGCGAGTCATTTCATAGCCTAGGGAATAACGCAGCATTTTTACAATAATCATAAGGTAATAAACTAAAATCCTATTATACCACAGAATTCTCCATCCTTCCTTTGTCATTGTCGGACGCAACAAGATAGACAGGGACAGTCCATTAATTTTACGCCTCCATTTAATTTGAGAAACTTGCAAAACATAATCATAACTCTGTTACATAGGAATTTATTAAAAGTAAAAATCATAGACCACTAGATTTCAATTCCAAAAAGCAGAGACGAACAGTTTCCAATTCGTGTACCTATGTGTGAGTTAACATTAGATCAGATGATTTAGAATGGAAAATTCTAGTGGATCTTAAACACTAAGTAGGCTGTACAAGCCGGTGGCAATGACAATCGAACTAGTCGATACGGTTGAGGGGGCACAACAAATTCCACAGTCTGTTAGATTAACAGATCAACTGTTAAATTCACTGGGGTAGCGTCAAAATGCATAGAAATAAAATAAATTATAAAATCTTACTGATACATACACAATATTCAATTGCCAGTGTTATAAAAAAGTAAAATTAGTTGTCCAACATTACACGTGGCATTGCTAAGTTATCGGAGTCATACCTTTGTATATATCTATAGTCGAGAGAAGTAATTACTGGAGAGTATGTAATAAGATATAATGACATACTCTCAAATAAATAAGAAATCGAAAGAACTAATGAAAGAATGAAGTAGAGAAGTATTTATAAATTGCGCTATAAAATGTAAAAAATGCAAATTGGACGGTTAGTTCCGATAAGTAAATAAGGGGTTCAAACAAACAATGTTTTAAACTTTCCTATATCCTAAGTAAACAGATACACAATGTTTTAAACTTTCCTATATCCTAAGTAAACAGATACAATATTGGTAGTAATATTAAAAAAATACTAGCAGTACTGTTTTCTATGAAAAAAATATGCGAGTTTAGACAAGCAGAACAGGCGGAGCATGTTGATAATTAACAGGTAATTACACGAGTTAATTGTTGACGGTGAGTCCTCATGGTCGCATATAGGGTTGCCAGGTCTTAAAAACAAAAACCCAAATAGAAAAAGAAAGAAGAAACAATCCTATTTTATTAATTTTATATATTAAGATGGAATGTAACTTCATTGTGTAATACCAGTATTACATTATTTTTCTCTTTTAAGAAAAAGAATCCCTTTCTAAGCCGCATTTGCGAAAGGACGAAACTATACATAGATAGAGTTTCGACTTTCACGAGTGGTTGTGTAGCTTGACTGAATAAATATTTTCAATTTCAAATTGAAATTAACAATAAACAACAAAATTTCGGATACGCCGGAGACAGTCCAATTTGGCCGTACACATAACCAAAACGCTCGACTTTTTCCGGCTTTACCGGAACGCCTGGTAACACTAGTCGCGTGCCACTTGGGAACCGAGTGGCGACCAGCGATGACATCAGTTACCACGGTATATGTTATATCGATTGACAGCAAAATGAGGGAATTTCATAAATGTTTATCACTTTACGAGGTATGAATACATATTTAGTTTACGAAAGATCATTTCGATGAGACAGAGAAAGATGATGTTAAATTGCGAAAAAAAATATTATCACACATTACATTGTAAAATCTCAAAAATGTAAAACTTTTTGGGCCCAGTATCCTTACGCATACAACGCAATTTAGAGTATGCGGACTTCGTGTCTTTTGTTTACCATAATTTGAAATTAGAGATTACAGTTTAAGTCCAGCTTCTTCAAACCATTATCCGCAGAAATTAAATTCGTACTTGTAGACACACACAGGAAACATTTCAAATAGTGCATTAGTTTTATTTTTCTAGGTGTACATTAAAAAACGCGATTTCTAAATAATCAAACATTTCATCAATCCATTAAAGTACAATTCCATCTAATGCCACGGTCGGCGTGGTATTCAGTGTTCGGAGCGGGCGTACCCATCGTGACCCTTGAATGCAATCTTATTGAGCAATCGGTAAAAAGTCAAGGCATTACTGGTATCTATTGTGCATTATCTAAATTCAGCGCCTTATCTCTTTCTCTCATTGAAACTAAAGAAAAAGAATCAAACATTAAATAAACTAAATCTTGAAGATAATTATAATAATTCATTACTAGATCATTCATTATTTACAAATGAATCGTTTCCGATTGCCCCCGTCCAATTACGTTTTTTTTTTTTGTATTAACTGTAAGTATATTTTTTCGTTGGGAGTTTCATTTTTTACAAGTCTGCCGAGCGAGTATGAGTGGTTTGGATGACACTGCAAAATTTATTTTCTTTTGATTAATAAGGAAGACAGAGCCGCGATATCAATAAAACAATTTTATTATTATTTTCTAAGTTAAGCCAACATGTCAACAATAAATAAAAAGGAAAAAAAAGGAGTTCGTTTGATAACAGTTGGTGAATCGTAATTGAATAAAATTAGTATCTCCATGTCCGACAGCCGGTGGAGAGTATAACAGCCACCTGT